AACTTTTCAGACCACCCTCGTATATATTTTTTGTAATATTTTTTATAAATAAAATTAGTATGAATCATACCGAAATTGTGATATAAATTATTATAGAAATAGTAAATTTGACAATTAGCCTGGTATACGATATATAAAACACCTAAATAATTACAATAATTTTGTAATAAACGTGCATAACATTTTTAAGCAAATATATAGTAATTTTGATCATAATTCTACGTGGTCCAAAATTATAAAAGTTTTGTTGTGTGTGTGTTGCAATGTTTACTACAATATTTCCTCCGTGCACACCGAGCAAAATAACATGCATATCTGTTACAAACACCTATGTATGCGCAGAATTCACGCATTCTGTTTTACAAACAGAAAAACAGACGTGTAAGGGAAACGATATTTACGCTCGATCACATTTCGACGTATGCAAGCTAAACGGTCAAATTGCTTCATCAAGTAACAACGTGAATTATCGAAGCATATAAAGTGTGACGCAGAGAATATAGACGACACGCCGCACCGCACCACGCCGCGTCGCATCGTCAGCTCGTAACCGAGTCGTTGACCAATCGTGTCGACCAAGAGCCGCAAAAGAGTTTCGCTGAGAATGTTGAAAAAAAGCAGAGAGCGAGAGAAGAGAGGAGAAAAAGTGGTCCCGTGTATCGGTCCTCGTATCGGTCGGGTCGTATGAGCGCGAGGGTAATTTACCGGAAGGCGACTGCTCGTTCGCGCCTCATGCACGCACTCGCGCCTTTCTCTCCGTCGAGGGTGGATAGAAAACGGCGACCGATGTCCAAGGTGCATTTTCCAGGCTGCTCGGGACAACGAACGTATCGTTACAGCAAGATTCTCGTATCTTGGGATACATTTATTGTTACGGACTGCGCGTGTCACGTCTTAAAAATAATAGAAATAACGACGTGGATAAAATGCTTCGAAGAAGGAAAAAGAGAAAAAGGGAAAGAAAAAAATGTTAATCCACAATTTTGAATCAAAATCTTTAGGATAAGAGTTACGGGACATATGAATCTACGAAAAACGGCTTTTTTTGCTGTATGCGCGCTATGAAATATTAGTTTTTATTAAATTATCATAAGATCGCGGTTAGAAAAATAATAGAGCATCGAGCGAATTGTATTTGTGACGGTACCATTATTTATCAAATTCTCATTGCGCAATCAATATCACTATTTGTGTTAGCAAATAAATGAGTTCGTAAAATCGAATGCAAATTGTCCCGATGTTAATATATGTAAATTATACTTCGATACATACAATGACATGACATACGTAAATTATATTTTATATTTATTCTTCTTTTGTGCTTCTTTGTTGATCTTGAACTTCGACACCTGTTACAAGTATACATCAAAATTACGCAATGCAAAAAGATCATACTCGCTTTCCGATATACATACTTTACTTTCCGATATGCGTACGTCATATATACATATACTTTGCATAGTGTGCGATGCACACCGCGAGCATGGGAATTTCGTTTTGCGTCACCTACCAATCCTTCGTAAAATGTCTGCTCTCTAAAGCGCCGCGACTTCCCGCAACATCGCCTCGCTTCCTCCACCAGTCGTTCTTTTTTTTCCCTTTATTTAACGTTATTGCGTTCTCTTCGTTTGCTTTCAGATCCCAGGGTGAACGATTGGGTGATGATGAGCAGCCCCTTCCCAACCCTGATGATATGCCTGTCATACGCTTACTTTAGCAAGGTTCTGGGACCGAAGCTGATGGAAAACAGAAAGCCTTTCGATCTTCGCGGGATCCTTATAACATATAATCTCCTACAGACCCTCTTCTCCACATGGATATTCTACGAGGTTTGTTTTTTCTCTTATTGCCAACAATGTATAACTATTGTTATTTCAATAACGGTGAGTTTATCTAAAGAGATAAAGATATTGATCTAAAGAGATCGACACGGTTTCGCGTGAACATGCAATTACTCCGGACACGAGGCGTATCAAAGTACAACGTCATACGAGAAGATAAATAGAAAGATAAGAAAGAACTTAACCCAAGATTGGTTCCGTATGTCGTGTCTACCTATGATAATTTTATCTTGTGGAAATATGATAAGCGATAAGTGAATCTCTAATGCAAGGTAGTGAGTAAGAGAATTGACAATCACGGTGGATTTGACCGCGATTGTCTTTTCGCAGCAGAAAGTTGTCTTCAATTAATCCACCTCCGCGTTTCGTTTCGGCGGTCAATAACTGCACTCGGCAGTGGCCCAGTTCAGGCAGACAACAACACGATGTTCTTTATTGAGAATGGGAGAGAGAGGAAGAGTGCGAGAGCGAGCAGGAGAGAGAACTCATTTCAGCTCTCCAGAAATCGCAGAGGATCCGTGAGAAACAACAGGAACTTTGGACTTGCATAGCCCATTTATGAAAATTGCCAAAAATACTCGGAGATAAATAACCGGTCGCTCCTTTATACGCTCTTTTATACGACTTAAGTATGAGCGGCGAGTAAAAATCGTTTTTTTCTTTTTTTTCTTTCTTCTCATCGCCTTTCTCAGGTCACTCAAGTGTACGGCGGCCTGAACGATTTAATCCACGACGTCTGGAAGAATATTTAGACGAGAGTTTAGCGGCTTATACACGGCGTGTCTCTTACGATATTTGCCTATCGGACGAATCCTTCTTCTCTGGCACCAAATTACGCATTTAACTCGCGATCGAAATCTTGCTGCTGTTTTCACATGGCATTCGTGATCATGATACCGGCGGAATAACAAGACGACAGGATTCAACTAGAAATACGGCCAACTCACAATATCGATCACTATCGGACGCAGACGGAAATTACAATTGCATCGCGATATGCCCATTTACCGTGGCATTGCAGCCGGTAATCAATACGATGACAATTAAATGTACATATTTATAAGTAAAATCGTGTGTATATATTTTACATAACCGAATTGGAGCGCGTTTCTGTTGCAGAACATCCTGTCCTGCTTGAAATTTGCGAATTCCCTGCCCCATCCTCCCGGCCCCATCTATCGAGAATATTTCAATATAAACAATGCGTACAAATAGTAAGGAATGATTTGTTCTTTTTGTCGTCTTTGAATACATACAACTTACTCTCGACTCGTGCACAGAATTGGATTGCTTCGGCTAAGTTCCACTTGGCGATCGCGATCCTTGTTTCTCATTGGGTATTCACATAAATTATCGTTTTTTACATACTTTCAAGTCTCAATATCCGAGAAATCTTCTTTAATTGATACGTTCACTACCGCGATTTATTTAGAGGAATCTGAACGATTCAGCTCGTATTTTCTTATTTTGTTCATGTAATTATTATGTAAAACAAAAAAAGGCATGTAAGAGATTTAATTGCTGCCACTTTTTCGCGATGCTAATTGATTCTCTCGTTTAGCTCACTTCATGTGGGCTGCGGCTTGCTTCGTGTCGTTTGCGCCTGTCAAAGTATCAGGCAAATAACTGTTATCGTGTTGGTTAGCTCATGAAGAAAAGAATACAGAAGAGATAAAATTATAAGAATAGAGAATAGAAGGGTAGAGGAGAAAAAGGAAAAAGAAAGGGCAGACAAAAAGAGAAGCATATTATTTAGACAAAAATAAGGCTAAGAATGAGGTAATTTTATAAGATAATTTAAAAAGTCATTGTAATGATAAAGATGCTAAATAGCGCGCTATTACTTTAATGCTTTATTGTAATGTTTTAGTTATGTAAAACAAACTTGGTTTAACGGTGATAATGCATATAGAAAACAAAATTTCTTCCCGTAGCATATGTGCCACGCCGATAGTAAACAAAGTTAAATAAAAACGGAGCGATGTTTCGCGCCGACGCGATCCCAACTTACCCTTCGTCGGTCGATTTAAAGAAACGACGCGATCGTATCTGGCCCACGGTCAATATTGCGCACGCATACCGCGATACAGTTATGCGCGTGCGAGCGCGTAGCCGCGCGCGAAAGTAAGCGAAATCTCGTCACATCGAGGAGGAAGATAGGTCACGAAGCCGCTCATCGTGATACGCACCACGTTCCTCGAAAGAACGCATAGTCTAACTAATTTGCATTTATTACCATTTTTTGCAAATTAAGGAGCAGAAAACGAGAAATACTTCCTTCGATTTCCGTTGCGTTTCACCGTTGTACCTGTTTGAATTTGCCAGATCAGTTCTTCCTCATACGAGCCGATATCATCCTCAGCAGGTTTCGGCACTTTATCGCTACCAATATTCATAAAGATGTGGCTGCTTGCCTTCCTGTTGAGGCGAGCAACGAGCAAACTTTATTGAATATAAATGACGTTACACACGCTACAATATTCGCAACATCAATTTATATCGCTTGGTATACAGTTGCTGTTCCTGTTTACGTCAAATGCCGCTTTATCAAGACGTCTTAGCTTTAACGTGTCGAGCTTTAGCGGCGAGTTTTTCTATTGACTTAAAATCTGTCAAACTATATGGAAAGAATATTATAGTTTTTATTTCACATAAATTCTTTTCAATGTTACTATATGCTTTTAGTCAATAGATCGTTAGTGAAATCTATCTTGCTAAAAAAACATAGTAAGTTTTGTTAGAAATATAACAAACGTTTTAATTTCTAAGATATAAACAGCACATATAAAATGTGAAAGAACGGTTACTACAAAATGTTTATTCCTCGGTTGCAAAGTCTTATAATAATTTTTACTATAAAATTCTATTTATGTACGCTTAAGTTCACATAGATCACATCATTTTCTGTAAGTCTCAACATCCAATCTTTCTGATTGTATACTAAAAAAAGAATTTTGTTGTCGAGACATAAAATTGATAACGCCGAACCATAATTTGGTTAAAATAGGATCAACCATATGTTCGATAATTGCAACAAAAATCAATTGCCTCTCTCTCTCTCTCTCTCTCTCTCTCTCTCTCCTCTCTTAAGTAAATATTAATTAAAATATATTTTAAATATAGTCAAGTTATGTTATTAACAATAAGATTGGTGACGAATAATTATTTGATTGAACGAACTTACCTGTGAAGTTCGATCCTAATTATGCCCTTTGTCTCGTCCGGATGGATAACTATATAGTCGTGCTCCCGCACGCTTATCGACAACAGATTTCATAGTACTCCCGAAGGAAAAAGGGGGCGCGAGAGTTGTCTAGCGCCATCTGTGTTCTTTGGCGCTTCCTGCACACGCATCACCTCCTCACAAGTTCAAAAAATGAAAGCTAATCGCTATCCTAAAGAGAGAGAAAAATGGGCGGGAGTCCATCCGGACGAGACAAAGGGCATAATTAGAATCAAACTTCACAGGTAAGCTCGTTCAATCAAATAATTATGCCCAAGGTCTCATCCGGATGGATAACTATGTAGTTGTTTAAATCCTTGCGATTGGCCGGAATAAATTCTAGAATATACGAAAAAACAGAAAGGAAGATTCTATATTCTACGAATTTACTAATTATTCTACGAATAACTTTATATAATTAAATATAAAAAAACTTGGTAAACACAAAAAACTTGAATATTGCTTTCAGAGGAAACATTCGAGCAGTTAAGCCTCTCCTCTTTGTTTTAACAGAGTTTCAATTATTAAAGTAAAAGAACGGTAATTAGTAATATTAGACCTTGCTTATGTTAAAAGAACTGTGTTACTAAAATCTTCGGGATTTATAATAGGCCTATTATAAAAGTTTGCAAAAACACGTGATTCAACCGTCCACTCTGCCACGCGCTTGAATCAAGCGCTACGCCTTTTTGAGCTGCTCGTGAAGTCGATGCGTGACGAGTACTGTGAGCAGAAAACACAGACGTATCTATTCTTCTAATTCCTGTCTTATCCAGCGACTAATTGTTTGCGCTGTAATCCTTTTATGAGATTTAGTTAAAGAAATAAAAATTGAATTGCATTGCACTGGCCGTAAATCCTTAGTCTTATCTAGGTAACTTTCTAATAAATGAACAATACAAAGATTTTAGTGATCCGAGAAACGCGAGAAACAGAAAAAGACTGAGAGTTATTAATTTCTCCGATAATGAAATATGTGACAAACTCGACAACGACAGTTTGAATCCGCTGGCCCGTCCCGAAGACAAGAAGGAGCACCAATTTTTTGATGATAACACTCAAAGCACATGAATTATACGGGTAAATAGCTCCTAATTACTGGAGCTGGATCCCACACATAATCGTAACGCGGACAAGACGGTTTGAAAACTGCAAAACCTTTACACCATAGACTGACCGATTTCGTTCTGAGAAATAAGCGATATAGTCGATCTCATAGTATTAAGGCACGAATAGGAAGACAATTTTGGTATATTCTGAGCCAGAAAGTCCAGCACTTGCGCAACCGTTGGGGAGTAAGGCGATATCTCCCGCTGATTGCAGAAAATCCACCAGCATTTAAGAGGGTAAGAGTATTACTTTATGGTAGATTCCAAAAGGGAAGCTAACAAAGCTGGAATTGCCGAGGGTGTAACTAGACGGGCTCTGAAAGCGTCCCTGATAACTTCCCGATACCCAGGGAAAGAGTTCTGTACTCTGGATGATGAGCCCTGAAAGGCGAGGAAAGCAAAGATCGACTAGGAGAAAAAATTATTGTTTTTGAGATTGAGAGACGCCGAAATAAAAGGAACCAAGATTGTGAGGGCCACCAGAGCACTACCAAGATCCCCGTTGCTCCTTCGTCTAGAATCTTTCTCAGAACTCGTGGTAACAAAATAAAGGGGGGGAATGCGTAAAAATTTAGCTTCTCCCATGAAAGGGTAAACGCATCCACTACAATCGAACCTGGATCTAGAAACCAGGAGACAGGCCTCACATTTAAAGTTAATCGAGGATGCGAATAAATCCACATCAAAGGGGCCAAAGGAGTTAGCCACTTGACGGAAACCTTCCACGAATAGAGACCATTCGGTATTAGGCTCGACACTATGAAATTCCGAATCAGTAATAAAATTGTCTAATGAAGAAATATATGTAGCAAAGATCATATTTCGTTCTTCACACCATTGCCAAATTTGTCTCGAAATTTTAGAGAGTAGAGGATATTGAACCGACCCATATTTGTTAATATAAGCTAATGCAATTGTATTGTCGACACGGAATAAAGTGTCGCTAATCATCCACTTAAAGTTTAAGGAAGAAAAATCTTAGAGTTTGTTCACCTTTTAAACCGCAAAATATAGACGAAACCGTTTAGCGTATAAATAATATAAGAGAGACCGGCACCATAATTCGAAATTAATTTTCTACCAAGGACTATATAAAAAATTACTGCAATAAAATAGCAGATAATGACATTTTTCCATCATGTTAATAAAATACTGTGCTTTTATATGTGCGAATTAATTTGGTCAATCGTCCAGTTTAAATTGTATTAAATTTTATCAAAATCGAAGCATGATATATTTTCAAATAAACCATCACAAAAATTCTTTCAAAAGTTATTTACATGGCGAGACTAATATTTTATTCGGTGCTACTGCCTTCAGTACTTATTGCATGACGGTTAAATCGTTCAGATTTAATGACATAATGACATTAAAAAAATAATATGAGAAATTGTATGAAGAATTATGAGAACAATTTTTACCAGGGATAGCATATGTACGCTTTTAAATGGCCATTTAATCGTTGTACTATTCTATACTTGTATTCGTTATTTCTTTATTATTGTTACTTTTTTATAAAAAAAATGTGTAATACAATTTTAAAAAGTAAAAATTGTTTTTTATTGTGTATATGTGTACAATTATTGCACAATATAATTATCTGGATTCCTCTGCAGCAGTTTTACATGGTGTGTATGTGAAACTGCCCCATTTAATAGCGTACATATGGCCCTTGATAGAATTAAATAGCCTATCTAGGAAACAGAATCTGCGCGCAATCTACCGTCAATCTGTCGTCAGAGTCTATCGACAGGCTCTGCGCGTAGTCTGTCACCAATCTGTCATCAGAACAGATTCTGCATACAATCTGTTGTCATTCTGTCTACAGACACTGTTGACAGACTCTGCGTAAAATCTGCTCGCGCAAGTTTGGCTATGTGGGATTGTTGTATACACATTTCGCCCAACGTGACTGATTACCTCGAAAATAATCTCTCTCTCGCGCTCTCCTCTCCTTCTCTCTTGTGTATCATTTACGTGTTGTGTAACGCAAATTAGTATCGGCCATTTGTACTTGTTCGATGTATGGCAAAATTGTGGTTTGCACATTCCTTTCCTGAAGCAATATTCGATGGTTAGTCGAGCGTTTCGAGGACATCGAGCACGTCGAAGTATTCATTTACATCGGTGGAAAGATACGAAGCTTACTAAACAATGGGTGACATTAATTTGCAACCAACGACGTCAGTTGCGATTACGTGTGAATAATTATGACTTGACGCAAGCGTTTAATAAATTCCAAACATGTGCGAAATAGGCGCAAAAAATGGAAAGGAATAATACACGATTTGTTTTTTATATCCTATGTGTATATGTACTTATTTAATCAATTTATACTTGCATACTTGAATGTCATTAAAGAAGCAGTAGTCGTAATTATTTTCAATGATTGAAAATCCACTTCAGTTAAACTAGTTTACATAAATTATCGTTTTTCATACATCTGCAAATCTCAATGTCCGATTTTTCTGATTGCAGATCGTACTTTTTTTCTTTTATATAATAGTGTAAAAGAGACTTAGTTTAGTAATGTGGAGAAAAAGAAGTCTTGCTGTCACATGTGTGCGTGTGCCGCTGGAAGCGCAGAAAGACACCGCAAGTGCGAGGCAGTCAATGCAAAATTAATTCATTCCTGCGAATACAATACATGTCTTTTCAAGCGCAACAGATTATATCGCGCCGCAACTCCTGAGTATAATTGGAGCCATTTAGCGAATGAATCTCGCACTCATGGCGACCTCGTGGAACGTCCGACGCCTTTCGACCACGCGAATCCATTCTTAAATTCACGGGAATTTAGTTAGATGAAGCGTTAACACGAAAATTACTCTTCCACTCGACCGGCGGAAGCATTCGCATTAGCGCACGCTCAAATTACTACCTTCCAAATTCTCACATGTTATCGAAGAAGATCGTCTTTTCTAGATTATTTGATTTGCACATCTGAAACTACTGAAAAAAAGGACGAAAAGGAAAAAAATCAGAGAAATTGTATAAAAAGTAGGCGCAAATAACAAATAATAGTTTGTTATGATGACTTCTGTTTTACGATATGCGACACTGTCGCAATGGTAATTTAAAAATGCACGTTTTTTTCAGTATTTGATGAGTGGTTGGGCGAAAGATTACAGTATTCGGTGCCAGCCAGTCGATTATTCGTATAGTCAGATGGGCATCAGGATGGCGAATACCTGCTGGTGGTATTACTTTAGCAAATTCACCGAGTTCTTCGACACAGTGAGTATCGATCTTTAGTTGCCTCGCATCGCTCTTGAATAGCGTATAACGAATATAAAAAAAGAGAGTTTTGTTCGATAAATACTTATAAGAACACTACGAATTAAAAAAATCAATAATTTCTTGTCTGCCTCTCCTTTTCCTTTAAACTTCAGAAACAATCCGTAGTAGATTTTAAATAATTTCATGTTTTACCTCATATAATAGCGGAGTATAAATGAAAATGCACATCTTAGTTAGAAAAGTAAATAATTACAATCTCTAAATTATGAAAAAAGTTATGTTTTACTATTATATATGCATGTGTGTGTGCAAACTTTTAAATCAAAGAACTATATTCAAACTTTTAAATCAAAGAATTATATTCAAACCTTAGAAAATTAAATAAAAAAGTTATTGACGAGATATATTAGTAAGAATTGTCAAAGTAGCGAAAATAAAAGTAAAATCTACAACTTTCCGTCTTTTCTTCAGCTATTCTTCATTCTGCGAAAGAAGAACCAACACGTTTCAACGCTTCACGTAATGCATCATGGGGTAATGCCTTTCTCCGTGTGGATGGGGGTGAAGTTCGCACCGGGCGGCCACAGTACTTTCTTCGCCCTCTTAAACACCTTCGTACACATCATAATGTACTTTTACTACATGGTAGCTGCGATGGGTCCGCAATTCCAAAAGTACATATGGTGGAAGAAATACCTTACTACTATGCAAATTGTAAGTTCAGCGTTATTTTGAGCCACCATATGAATATGAAATGATGGTTACAAGAAGCATATAAAAACATATTATTAGAATTTGCATTTTATGTGTTTTTACGATCTTTGTTAAATATGCAACGACATTCACTTGAAAAAAAAAATTTAAATATCTTTAACATGTGCGCTATAAATATGACATGCATCACAGCGATTTTTTTTCCATACTCATATAAATCATGTAAGTCTATTTTACTCAATTAAAACATACAATAAAAACATATAATTTGGAGAAATTTTTCCAAATAATTCGTGGAAGCATCAAAGATTCACTTGTGTGAAGAAAGTATATTAAGTATAATACTTAATTGAAATTGTTTATTGACGTTTTTAGTAACATTAATGAAATTAATTAATTCATAAAAGATTAGGATAAGTAACCGAGTTCTCAATATAAAGTCTGATTCGCTCTTCAATTCCGTCTATTCATCACTACTGTTTAGAAGATACTTTTTTAATCTTCGTAATATCACATATTGAATAAATTTTTATCTATGGTGAACAATATGAGAACAATATGAGAAGTGCCATCATTTCCGTTATCGCTTTTGCAATTATTCGTGAATTTATCTGACTGCTTACTTATTCTGATTTCAGATACAATTCGTGATGATCATGTTCCACCAATTCCAATTGCTCTTCATTGAGTGCGATTATCCACGTAGTTTCATGATCTGGATCGGCTTGCACGGTTGCCTGTTTCTCGGACTGTTCTCGGACTTTTACAAGACGAAGTACACAGGCGTAGGTAGCAAAGCCTCCGCGAGGATGCAGAACGATTCATCCGGCGGAGTCTGCATGCCGGTCTTGGACGAGAAGTCGACGCACAACGGTGTATCCTCATACACGATTTACAACAAGGAGTACAACAGCTGTTATAGTAATGGCACAAACAATGGTTACGTCGCTAACAACAACACAGAGAAGAAACTCGCTTAGGACACTTTGCTGCCTTGGTGGATACTCGAACATTTTGTTCGAAGTGTTGTCGGTCAGCTCGTCTCGCTGTACTACAGTTACCATTCATCCGCCATAACGTCATCTCATGACAGGAGTAAAACGAATTTACGTGTGAAATACGCAAAGCCAACAACAAATTAAGTGCGCGTGTAAAGGGGATGAAGAGAGACGAGATATTCGTGAAAAAGATAAACACAACAAAACAACAGTGAGACAAATTTTCGTTATCTCGCTGCAACATTCTGCATCGTTAGCAGAGCGAAAGCTGTGTTCACTAACATAGAGTCATCGACGAGAGAACTGTTACAACGTCCGTTACAAAATAAAAAGAACGAAAAGAAGAAAAAAAAGAACAAGAAATGACGGAATGCGCAAATCATCGCTAATATCGCGCAATCTTCCTCTTTCGAGCCTTCGTAATAATGAAACGTGGTTTGTACTCGATTTGTTAGAGCCTCGTGACACCTGCTGCCACCCGAAAATAGAACATCGATAATATCGTCGGTAATCATCGATAATACGATAAGAGAACTAGCGAAGAGAGGAAAAAAGAGACTACTTTTGCACTTTCTGTATTTCTCGGCGCTATCGAAAATCGCTGTTGCTGCGGTTTTAAAATCTCTAGGTCGCGGATAGCTTGACAATGTGTCTGAGAGAAATAGGACTTGAGCGCAATGTAACGCCTGAGAGAGAGAGAGAGAGAGAGAGAGAGAGAGAGAGAGAGAGAGAGAGAGAACGCGAGGACGAGAGCGAGCTTAACGACATTTAAAGAGCCATCTACAATGCTGGGATTGGTAGTAGGCAGTAAGATCATAAGCAGTAAGCAAATTGATCAACCACGGTTGGTCGGTTATTAAAAGAATAATCACTGTGCTGGTCAATTTGCATATTTCTTACATCTTATTGCTTACTACCAATCCCATTGTAGATGGACTTTTAAAGCGCACATATACGCGACGGGGAACAACCGCGCAAGCAAATTCCCTGTTGCAAAATCGAAAACGGACAAAAGCGTGTTCGCCGTGCGTGCATTTTATTCGTGAGTTGTGTACATTTGTTTTTAATACGGCTTGAACATTTCTTTTTATGCAGTTTGGGACGCATTCGATAATCTAACGAGAGAATATTTTTTTATTAATTCCCATAAGTAAAATTTTCTCATTGAATTATCGATTACGTTACAAACTGTATCGAAAAGTATTCAAACCCGTTTTAGTATTCCGTTTTGGAGTGGAGTATATATAATTGAGTCGAATACGTATGAATGTTTCTTGGATAGCACGTAATTTTAAAATACTTTCCCCATCGAGACACATTGGAACTAAATCCTTTCTTATTTCAATCTCTCCTTCTATCATTATCACCGACTCTCTCTCTCTCTCTTTTTCTCTCTCTCTCTCCCTCTCTCTCTCTCCCCCTCCCCTCTCTCTGCCCTTTTTTTCTATCTCTCTATCTCTCTCTCTCCTCCCCCTTTCTTCTTCTCTACAGTCCCAATTGTGTTCAGAACTTGGGTGAATTTTGTAAAATTTAAGTATACAAATCGATTCATCCAAATCGTTATATACAATATCGTATACAGTCGTATCGATACTATATATAATATCGTATACAGCAAAGCCAGTTACATACGATTATTGATTTGGTGATCGCTTCGTGGCGTTTCCACTGATGTTAATTTATTAATTGAGAAATTGATGTGTTAAGAGGTATTGTTGGCTAATAATTAGCTAGTTAGTTATCTAATTCTCAGTATGTATGGAGTTCTTTATACTATATGGAAACGTTAAAAATTCTTAGCGATGATGAACCATTGTATTCGTAATTAATTAAACTTACACAACTTCCCTAATAAGTTCTTAATTCATTCGGAAGCTTGATTCTACTATTGCACGTGGTATATAGTAATGATGGCGATAATCTCGTAACAACGGTGATGGTGACAGTAGTGATGATAGTGATAATGGTGACGGTGACGGTGATGGTGATGGTGGTTAATAATAGCAATGCCAGTGCCAGCTCCAATGCCGACGCTGGTGTTGACAAAAATTGTTCGCTGCTTCGATCATTTCCTCTTTAGCGCGCGGCAGTAAGCCGCAGTGCGGCCTGTTTATTGTGCAACAGAACTGGCGCTTTAATCGATCGAAAAAGCACGCAACATTTGAGTCACGAAGCTCTGTAGTAGTGTCGTTTCGTAGAATCAAGCTTCCAAAGTGATCGCGCACTAAGCAACGAGTCTCTCTTACACGCGATCATTATCAAGAGTTGGATCATGGTTGCGAGAACGAGTCGAATGCAAAACGTGTGTTTTAATCTGCGTATGCATACGCGAATATATATTATACGGGGGAAAGGGAAAATGTGTGTTTAAAGACCATAATAAGTCGCACTAAGATTAGTATATTTATACACTTCCTATTTTTATGAACATATTATTTATGATGACCCGAATACAATAAAACACTGATGATGAAATATCTCGATTGTAATAAACTTAACCTCGGTTATTTTTACAAAACGGATGAAGTAAATTTATGAAAAGAGAAAGAGACAAGAACGAAAGAGAAAGACGTGAAAACAGTCTTGCGTCGTGTTTGTCATGCTCAACCTCCTTATGAAAGTATACATATAATTGATGCTTGCGAAAAAGAGTGCATTCGAACATCCTCTTTCCTCAGATACAAATTTGAAAGCGCACCCCCGAACGAGTGTAACAATTAAAATTTAATCCTTGTGTATGTGTAATCTGTTTATTCTTTCTTTATTTCCATAACATGCATATCATGCTTTGTATGATCATAATTCACATCATGTTAGTTTAAGAAACTGTTCTGGAGTAACAGCTCATTTTTAGATATTTTTTTAATTATGCTAGAAAATTGGCAAAGCGCGCGTAATAATAATGATAGTAATAACGATAGCGACAAGAGCGATATCCGTCTTCAACATGAAATTGTTATTTGATGTATCAATTAGATATTACAAACTGGCCAAATTCTTATATTTTTCGTCTTCTTTTATTATAAATTTTCTATACTTCTTACAAATCTGAAAAAGATTGTATTCATATCCTATATTCGCTCTTTAGTTGCGTGTACAACGATGCGGTTAAAATCGTCTGCAAAGCAATGTAAATTTAAACAGAATAGACATAGTAATAGTTCTAGCTGCCTAAGTTCGCATTATGACTGTAACAATCTGCGTTCACTTAACGTTTTCATTGTATATCAATATTGACTTCTCCTATAATCTCAGTGATTTCTCTTTATGTTAATATAGAAAAAGTTATAATGGCAGCGTAAATTCTGTCACGTGAGACACGTTTCGCCGATTGTGTTTGGTGAGTTGGAAGTCATTATTTGGAACTTGCGCGAACACACATTCCTCGCGGAATACATAAATGTATTTTCAATCTATCGCAATGCATTCCGAGATTAACGTTACACTCGAATCCGCCGCAGATTGTACGACTTAATCGTTCGTTGCGTCGAGACTTAATTAATGTTCATTAGCTTCCCTCGTCCGGTTCAACGTGCAAACGTAAGAGGAAGTCTTCGCTGTTGCAGTGAAAAGGCGCGTGCGTGTGAACCGACTAATTAAAACGTTTTCCACATGTGTATTTGTAAGAGAACTGCCATAGAGCGACGGAATTGGCGTACGAAGTCTCGCACGGGACTCGCGCGAGAGCACGAGGGCGTGAAATGAAAGCGATATAATAGACTAGGAAGCGCGTGCTCATCAAGAGTTCTCGAGCGACAGAAAGTTAGATTCTTCGCGTGTTTTACCTTACGCACACAATACTGCGATAAAATAGTGGAGCGATCTAGGTAGGATTGTTACGTTTTCCCGATTCTCTCATTCTGTTTGTGATACTGCACTGCGGTGCCGGCGGCGCGCTACTAATTGACGCGCCCATACAAAGGAAATGTTTTAGCGAGGAAAGCAACGCACAGCGTGTCTCCTTAGTGACATGTAGGATTACGTCGATCACGGCGATCTTGTAGTACTATCGGAATATTTCGACTCGCTCGATAGTCACTTTTCGCGAGCGAGAACAATAAGTTGCGCACCGTAACACGCTCGAGCAACGTCGCTTTATCGTTTACTACACTAGAGCCGAACAGTCGCAAGATCACGTATTTTACACTGATTTCTTCCCTGTCGGAGTATCGAAGAGCACACATCCCTCGATCGCTTGTTTCCTCTTCTTTACGCTTTTCCACCTGTATTGGTCGTTACGAGCGTTACGTCTCCAATCAGCCGCAAGTTGTTCGCGATTAACATTCGTAACGGCGGGCGATCGATGAACACTGTTGTTTCCTGTTATTCGCGAGAGAATGTCAACCGATTTCAACGGGTACTCTTACGCCGTGAGTTTTGCTTTGATCTGCGCAACGTGCGCGCTCGATGGCGTATTCGTTTTTTAACGAGCGCGGTATGTCGTTTCCTTTATATTATTTGTTAGTACATTTTATTTGACCGCGTTTTATTTTCAAGAAAGCGTAGCGAAAGCTCTTCTTACATGCATCACCACACAATATTTTTTTAAGGGAAAAACCACGTCGTCTCTATAGAGCCGACTTTGCGACGCAACTCTAATCCTTTATAATAAATCCAGTTGTTTTCCTATACGAAACAAGTGGCCTGTCTTCATTGACGATTGATCAGCGGTGAAGAGTACGATATGAAGTACCGTGCTTCTTTTTTTTTATCTTTCTTTTTATTGTTTCTAACAATATTTCATGTTTATCCTCATGCACGACAGCTCCCATGTAAAACGTAAAGCCACTTAGGATGTATGCGAGTAACTTTTTATATTTGTAAAATGATTAGGTTTGATGATATAATGTTGTCCGAAATATTGTAACATACGGGTCTCACAGAATCGCCGGATGCATCTTCAGTCACAGATTATTCGGTTGACTCGAAGTCGACTTTTCCTCAGTGAAATTATTCGTAGACAACTCGTCGCTCGAACAACAACTTTCTAAACATTACGTAGTTGTCCCGGAATCGATGGAACATGGACCGTCATGCGGTCTGTTCGAATTTACTCAGCGAAACTTCGAGTCAACTTTTGTCTGAAACTTGCAACACTTTATAATTTACACTTACTATTATATATTCGCGATTTTTAACACACAGTCGAACGTCAAAAGTTCAAAAATTCTGTTCAAGTCCGTTTAGGATTAAGCGTGAGACATAGTTTTGTTATCCGTTTTATTTTTTAATGATATATATATATATATATATATATATATATAAAATGCGTGGAGAATCTTTTATTTTAGATTATTAATAGTTTGATTACATTCTCAGTAAGCAAGGAACATTAAATTAACGTTTAGAAATGTTGATTTCATATGCATTGTTTGGACATTTTTTAATAATATTGCATTTATATTTTTCACATATTATTTTGTGATATGATTTTTCTGAATGTTGTTTAAACGTTTTAAAAACATTACAAAAAATATATTTTTCAAATGTTACTTTAACATTTATTTGAGATCGATGCAACATCTTAAAAATATTTCTGCCGATTAAAACGTTATAGCAACCCTATTTCAACATTATTGAAATTTCCAAATCGCGGTCAAAGTATGTTCATAATGATGTTTGATACAATATTAAACACTACATATTTGACAATATTACAGGTTCTTCAATATCATTGTAGCAACGTATTAATGATTTCTTACTTACTGGGTTCCTAGATAGCACAAAGAATTTAAAAAATGCAAAAAGAATTCAATCATATGTCACCAATTCTGAGTTCATTTTCAGATGCAAAAAGAATTCTTCAGAGTTTAATTCAGTGAAAAGAATTCTTTTTCTAAATGAACTCAGAATTGATGACATACGACTGAATTCTTTTTGAATTCTCTATGTTATCTGGGTCGTTACCAGATAATTATACTAGAAAATTGGAGAAGAATCGACTCCGAGTTATCAAAAGAATCCGTGATTGATAAGGTATCCGGTTGTTTGCGAACACTGTATACGATTACGATTCTCTATCCCTTTTCCTCTCGAGATCGCCGAATTTTCCTGTCATGAGCGTACATCACGATACAAAGAAATAACGGTAATCACGCATAGAGAGTTGAATTTAATGTCAGAGAATGACAAAATGTTAAGTAACAAAAACGACACTCTTGCGTGAGAAACAAATAGCAAGTGATCCGCACGTATCATTATCGTCACGATGACGTTCCGCAGCTTCATGTTCATTCGAAAGATCTAAACCGAAAGCGCCAGAGAATGCGACGATGAGAGGAAGAGAGCGTATCGCGTCACGTACCTAATGTTACGAGCTCTGTAATGATTCTCATTATATTTTTGTACATAATTGGGGAGAATTACGAGAGAATAAAGCAACAGAAAGTTAAATGAACACGTATACTTAGCACGACTAAATGGAACGCAGCATGAGATTCATCCATTATCTATGACTATAAAAGATACTTTTTCTTTTATTGCATATGTCTCAGTGCAAGTGCAATATTTCATTGTACATGTTTTACAATTATATCGATTATTATTTTCCAATTGTATACGATATATTATAAAGTGCTACTTTTTATTTAAATGTAGTAACTTCTTGGTAAGATTCTTTTTAAGTTCAGGAAAGAAGTTGCATGCTCTATTATATTGGTTATGTTAAATGTTATTTTATGCATAGCCACAGCAGAAATGTTCAAAATATATTATTGGGATATTCTAAATATATCACAATATCCCTAGAATATCCCATGATGTATTTTGAATATTTCTGCTGTGTGGACCCAGGTAGCAGAGTGACGTCAGAAGACGTCTTATTGACGTCAGAGACATCAATATGACGTCCTCTGACGTCATTCTGCTACTTGGGGATATACACTACATCATCTTATATAACTAACAATTTTAATTTTATACAGCAAAATTACTTGTAATAAATTATTTGGAAAACGAAATATTTGACAGTTCTTTCATAGTATTTCATCGATATCTTTCATTTCTCTTGTTATCATTCGTATTTGTTGTATCTTGACTTATAGCAGAAAAACGCCAGAAAGTAGTCGGCGTTTTATTCAGTTTTATTTATAGCGTGTTCGACTAGCCCTGGGTTAATCGTTCAGAGAGCGATTAATGACGTCATAAGTGTCTACTAGCCAATCATAAAGCTTATAAGTACTTACTCAACCAATAAATGTAGGCTGAATAACTCAGAGCCAGTCGAACATGCTATTAGTACCGCTTTACATGACTGATACGCCATCTACGCCCATTTTTTAGCTGAAACTATTTCAGCCATAGACATAATATATCTAAACCGAGCGTTTGCCTTTATTTGAGGAGTAGAAGTAAGAGCACGTAGAAAAGGATGCATTGCGTTTTGAGACGGGGTTAGGCGACAGTTTCCCGAAAAGTGGAGGGGATAATGTTGGTATCAAGGAAAATCTCTACACGATATAATTTAAAGATCTGTTCTTTGTAACTGCACTGCTGAACTGGTGCAATAAATTTAAATGAGGCAAGTATATGTTTTCTCACTCTAACTTTTTGCATTAATTCAGCAGTGTGCAATTACAAAGAACAGATCTTTAAATTATATCATGTAGAGATTTTCCTTGGTACCAACATTATCCCCTCCATTTTTCGGGAAACTCGCTAACCGCCGCGCCTGCATACTACATTCAAAATACACTCTTCGGACATCGTTCTTCCATTCTGAAACAAGCTCTTACAGGCAGCATAGGGCGATTAGCAATATAGTAGTATTACATATATGATTACAGCTGAGGCAAAAAATGACGACCATTTTTGTTAAGGCATTCCATATATTCACGTACTAATTTTGCTTTAACAAAGGTGGCTGCTTCTATTCACTAGGCGTTTTTAGAACAAAGAGACGTCATCAGAATATTTTTAGGATGTCTTTTGAAGGTGTGAGATGTCTGAAAATAGCTAATATCCAATAAGTTTATTAGATTCCCTACTCGGGAATGGGTGCATGGGAATGCATCCTTATGGCTCCTGCACACAGAACGCGGTAATCCTTGCCGCGCGGCAGAAATTCACGTGACAGCCAATCAATATTATGGTTTCTGTAATAACCTTCTAGCTCTTACGGAAAAACAACATATTGATTGGCTATCGCGTGAACTTCCGCCGCACGGCAAGCATTACCGCGTCCTATGTGCAGAAGCCATTAGGATGCAAACCCATGCAGTAGAATAGCAGAGCGTTCTACAGTTTTCGCTCGTGATTGCTTCCGCTCATGATTGGTTCCGTTCTCGTTCCGCGCTCCGCTATTCCGCTGTATGGGTTTGTACCCTTAAGGTGCTAAAACATGGGAGCGTTCCAGCGTCGAGCGTTAAAGCGTTAGCCAATCAACGTATCAAGTCCCAGAAGTATATTTGTAGTTCTTGCGGAAAGTGGCACGTTGATTGGCTACCGCTTTAACGCTCGACGCTCGATGCTCCCATGTAAAGGTACCTTTATAGCTCTCGCAAATCAGAACAATGCGCGACGCGACACACGATATGCGACGCGCATCGCTGCGTTCAGATTCCTCATCCGGGTGCACTTTATTACTAGGGTTGTATTCCAAAACGTCCTTTCCGAGGAAAATTTTACTCTTAAGAGCCTCCGCACAAGAACATCCGTAACATGTTAAGTTTATGAATTTCTTTGTGAGTTGATTTAAATTTAAGTTTACGTACAGGTATGGCCATTATGGGTGTTTACGATAATTCGAGTTGGAGTTAGTACGAATTAGTTTCACTAGGGCTGAAAAATATGATAGTCACAAGCATCTAGTATTTTCATGATTCATGACAACTCAATGCTGTCCGATAAATCGAGTAGAGTAGAGTAGAGTAGAGTTAGGGTAACATAGTGGATAGTATATGTATAAAAATTAACAGTATCAGGTAACATAGTTTCGTAAAATATATAACAATAATATTACTAAACAATGAGTTGTTGCATTTTAGAAAAATTAGAAGCACTAAATTAAATTATGAAAAGGTATCATGTATTTGTGAAATATCCAAAAGTAGAAAACAATTATTCTAACCTATTATTATTGAATATTTCACAAATACATTAAATTAATATCATTTTCATAATTTAATTTAGTGCTTCTAATTTTTCTAAAATATAATAAATAATTGTTTTGTAATATTATTGTTACATATTTTACGAAACTATGTTATCTGATACTGTTAATTCTTATACATATACTATCCGCTATACTACCCTAACTCTACTCTACTCTACTCGATTTATCGGACAGCATTGAGTTGTCATAAATCTTGAAAATACTAGATGCTTGTGCCTATCATATTTCTCGGCCCTAGTGAAACTAACTCGTACTTAATCCAACTCGAATTATCGTAAACAGCCTATATTGTCAATATTTAACGTAATGAAACATGTTAAGGTCGTTCTACATTAGTTGTCACAAGTCGATTGCAACTTTTGTTACAACAGCCAATCAGAAGCGTCAATAGCACCATTGAATGCCAATCTTATTGCTGTCGCAATAAGAAATGCATCTGCTTGCGATCGGCTTGCAACTAATGTAGAACGACCTTAAGCCAGCGGAACACGATGCTTGTTTCGTGCTAGATTGCTTGCTGGATGGAAATACTCTATTCTGGTTGGTCCGTCTTCAGAAATGCACCAAACAGAACAGAGTATTTCCATCCAGCCAGCACGAAAACAAGTATCGTGTGCTAACTTTAAGGGTGCGTTCATAATCCCTACCCGAGTGCACTCTAATACTAGAAGTGCTATAATATATATAACATATACTATAGGTTGCTTTCTTTTATTCGCAACAGATATAGCTGAATGTATCTCGTGGATGCATCAAGATTTCACTTTTTAAAGTTACTAGCTAGTGATGTACTGTCCCTAGAAAATAAATTTTCTTATTGGCTATTGGATCGTCGTATGTCCGACGTCGGGTCCCAATCGGTAATGTATCAGTATTGCTTTTATAAAAACTGTGAGAGAAAGAGAGGCAATCTAATAATAATATCAAATAATATAAAAAATGTCATTAATTGAAATCGATTTAGTATATGGAACATGGTCAGTTATTAGAGGGTAAAAAGTCCTCAGAGTTAATTTCAGATGCTATTATTAAAAACAAACCTTCAATAGCTCCCACATTTGCAGTATCCATCTACAACTCATTAATAAATTAATTTTTCCATATTTTTTATTACAATTATCCCAGCAAACACAAAATATTATTGTTATATAACATAGACGTAACACGTACTCTTGTTACTTCTATGTTATATAGCAGTTATGTCTTTCTTTGTTAAGATTGTGTAATATTTCGACTATATTTAATACACATTTTTGTACATTTATTGAACATATTACATCAATTACTACTATTCTTTATCCTTTTCATCCATTAACCCAATAAAGAAATCCTAGTTATCTTTGTTTTTATTGGTCAATTAAATATTATCTACCCGTCGAATAGAGTTTTGGAACGCAGCCCAGAGGTTATTAATTTTCCCAGGATTTGTCGTTCTCATCAGTTGGCACTATTCGAACGTTTAGCAGTTTGACTTTTAAACGATATAAACAGCGATTTAAAGCTTTATAGTCACAAACGGACTAAGAACAGGCGATCACGTTTTGCGTACTTTTAACTATAAACTCGACAAGTATATCGTAATTGTAACATTATTTAATTTATCTAAATGATAAATAGCAAAAAGTGTAAATATTCTAATTGACAGCAATAACTCTATATCTGACAAATCTAATCGTATGAAAACAAAGAGCTGCTTGTTGGTACTGTTTTATATCGGCCACGTTTCGTGTCACCTCTTGAAATATTACGTGTATGTATTTTTGCATGTTTTATTTCTAATTTTTATTTAATTCTATTTTTACAATATATTTCGGTTTTTATATTTTAGTATATTTTACAAAGATTTATTTGTGTAGATTTTGTATAAAGTTGTTATTGTTGTATATACTATGTAACTATGTACGTATTTGAAGGTCAATTTTGTTGTTCTCTTTTCCTTCTTGTCTTTTGTAACTAAAAAAGAGAGGGTTAAAGTTCTTTGTAAATATTATTATGCATCTATGCAGGAATCATGGGCAATTATATGAACAAATTGCTCTTTCATGCTGATGAAAATCGAAAAGAAAATGAAACACAGACTCTGGAGCAGCAACAAATAACTAAAGAAGATGATAAGTTATGCACACCATGTTCCGAAGGAAAATTGTTGGCTGATCCACGTTCAGCTTCACTAGAGATCAAAAGAACTCCTATCTTGGTAAGATCTTAATAATAATCTGACATAAAGCCAACTATAAACTTAACTTTAGTTTCAAAATTTTACATTGTTTAGAGTCCTTACAACATTAATATGCTGGATATAAGTTATATGGTGAATTACAAATCACAACTTATTATGATAAAAGCATGAAAGTAATAAATATAAATATTTTATGCTTAAATAGGTTGACAACACCCCAGTGGGAGTAAATAAAAGAGTGCTTAACGCAATACCAAAACATTTACAAACAAAACAATATCTCGAAACTAATTTGGATTTAATTATGCCACCATGGTCACCGAAGAAACATTTTATGGCAAAATGGGCAACTGATAACCAATCACAAGAATTGGTATGTTATTAACATGAAATATGTTTTTATTATAAATCAGCATATTTTAGATTCCTAAAAAAATATATTTACTTATAATGTATATTTTTTGCAGGAAAAAGAACAAAATTCTTCAACGCTAGATACAAATGTTGCAAAAACACCAAAAAATCTAACATTAATTGAAAAAGAACGTTATAGAATTTTGGGTCTTGACCCAAGATCTCCAGCAGCTGATTTTAGCAGAACTCCTATTTTAGTACCAAAATCTCTCGCGCTATTAAAGGCCCGATCACAAGATAACTTAAATCGCAAGGGCAGTTATGAAACAGATGTTTACAATCCAAGAAACTCATGGCAAGAAACAAGCATATCACTCGATAACACTGAAATGCAATTGTTGCCAGACATAGCTTCCAAACGCCTAAAAGAGCTAGATTCTAAAACGCAAACCGAATTAAATATACTCGATATACACGAGTCCGATTCGGATAATTCCGATTCAAATGTTTTTGTAAACGAAGAAGACGTCACAGTTATTAAAAACACAAACATTAAAATGACAAATAATAGATCATTAGTTACAGACAAATGGACATTTACAGAAATTGACAAACAAGAAGACAGCAAGGACAAACAGAATGATTACAAAGACGTTATTGAACAAAATATGAGATCTATGCAAATAAAAGAAGACAATAAAATTAAAATATGGCACGATTCGTCAGTATCAGAGAAAAATGTACCAAGTGAGATAGAGCAAAAGGAAATTCAAGAGAATATCGAGGGAGAATTATTCCGGGAAGAGATTCTAAAGGAAAATATAATGCACGATGAATATCTTGTAAATAGTATCTCTCCATCAAAATTTATAAAGATCGAAAATATCCAGAAAAAGGAAGACGTAGGAGGAGATATAAAAAAGATTCCTAAAACAGATGCAAAATTGAAGTCAGACGAGAAAAAGATTTATAGCCCGGATAGCAAATATTGTAACGAAGTACCCAAGGTAATTTATAAATACAAACAAATCCTTCCTTCCAATAGCACTACAACCTAAGTTGGGCCAAGGTCTATCTCTCTTTATGTGGCACGTAGATCATAACACAGGTATACGGGATCTACAGTTTTAACGCCGATTCCGAACGGCAGATTTTGATCTTCGTGGCAAATATACAGTTGAAATACAGTTGTTACCAGACATAACTTCTAAACGCTTAAAAGAGCTAGATTCTAAAACGCAAGCCGAATTAAATATATTCGATATATATGAGTCCGATTATGATAACTCCGATTCAAATGTTTTTCAACAATTTTTCAATGCTAGACACAAATGTCGCAAAAACACCAAAAATCTAACAGTAATTGAAAAAAAGAACGTTATAGAATTTTGGATCTTGACCCAAGACCTAGCAGCTGATTTTACTAAATCTCTTATAGTGCCAAAGTCTCTTGCGCTAATGAAGGACCGATTCACAACATAATTTAAATCGCAAGGCAGTTATGAAATAGATGTTTATAATCACAGTTATTACAAACAATTGATCAACATTCTTGGGGGCTTGTCGAGCCTCCAAAGAGGAACTACGAACGCACGAAAATTTTAGATTTCGCCTGGGATCGGATCCGAGACCTTTAGCACGGCAGACCAGTGCACTATCTGCCACGCCACGCTCGCACTCAAATACAAACAAATACATATTTGTATAAATGTTAACTAAATCTCTAATCTGTTTCAGAATCGGACGCCTCTTGGCAATAGGTCTAATAACGGTATAACTCAAGGAATACCAGCAAAATCACCGCAACAACTATTAAAAAATAAGACTTTAATTACTAAAGTGCAGCAAGAGAACACACCACCCTATAAAAGTTACAATGCAAAAACTAAAAACGGAATTCAGTGGGACCCAAATTCTTCAATTATCATATAAATGATACATTTAAAACGATAAAGAAGGTAATATTTAGTTGCTATTTTTATCCTAAGACTACACTGATGTTATTTTGTATTGCAACTTGTAAGACTTAATTTATATTTAAATATATTTAATAATTATAAAATGAATTAAAAATTTGTGTATACAATCCTATACCTAAGAATGAAATTTGGCAAAATTCTAATATTTCATAGTTATTTATAAATAAGATTTTGTCATTATTTTATACTGACATAATAAATACTTGCCATTTTTCCGAAAATAGAATAATTAGAAAATTTATTTAGGATTATAAGGAAATAAAAATAAAAATTATTACTATATATATATTTCTAATATATTTATTAAATATAAAATAAAAAATTCGGACCAATATACACAAATAATCCTGAACATCTAATGTTGAATTTTGTCAGACATTCAATGTTTATTTAAATATTTTCTGCATCGCTGTGCGAATATGCGATTTTGCCATTTGAATAGAATGTCGAAGATCTTCGCTAGGTTGTATCAAATGTGTTACACTGGAAAAATATTGTAGAAACAAGTGATTAATACATATAATGTTTAAAATATCATAAAGTGCACCATGTAGTATGCTCCACAGTATAATAATCAATGTTATTCAATTGGTTTAATCGCCCATTTTTTGTCAAATTTGACTTTAGTAATTTTACATATTTCATTTAAAATACAAATTAAAACAAGGCATACATGCATCTATATCGTTAATTAAGATATTCTGTGTACAGGTGAAGTGCATTAAAGAAATCCTTTCAGAAAAATTTATATAGCCTAAACCTCTAAAATGTAACTAGTAAGTGAATCGACTAGTCATAAACGAAAGTTATTAAAAGTGCAATTTGCTTAATTATTTATCTTTTCAGCTGTATTTAGAAAACAATAACTTAGTAAACGCTCACATTGTAAGTGAAATATTCTATCAGATTTCTTATAAACTTGAAAGTATGCTTTAATCACAGATAATAATCATTGATTGTTTAATAAAATGCTTCATTCCATTGAACATAGCCTTTTTGTCATAATCCTGAAAACACAACTCTGACTTGAACTCTAAATGCTAGAAAGAAATCCTTGAAAGGATAAACATGTGGCATACGAAAGTCATAGTTTAAACCATAACTCTAAATTACAATAAACACCAACACAGATAAATGATAGATGTGCAATGAATTTAAAAATGATATTCATCTACATCTTTCTACACTTCAAGAGGACTTCTTTAATGCACCTTACAGTATAAATAATATGATAAATACCTACTTTGGATTTTTTATGACTATCTTCTTCTTGTCATTGTTAGATCTCTCCAATAATTTAACAGTAATTCCACTGTTTACCTTCTTTACATTACAAAATACATTAGTTTTTTCAGTGGAATTTAATCTCGCTATATTCCTAGTGTCTATAATCCGTGGCCAGCTGATCTTAACTTTCATGTCATCATTAACAAGTTGTCCTTTATAATTTCTCTTGCGCACGTTCGATCTCAGATTTTCGCTCGACCGAGAACTTCCTGCTTGTATTACTGCTTCAGTCGGTTGATACGGTGCTGATAATGACTCCCATTCAGATACAGTGTTGTTACTACAGCTGCTGTTCCAGTTTACTGGCAAACTGGGCTCAGATACAGATCGTGGATCTATATCCTGAGGTATTCCATCACAGATAGAGGAAATTGTTTCTCCAGGATAACAGTGTTTGACTCGTTCTTCAGTAAGTGGTAAAGCTGGTGTCCTTTTTTTTCTATGATACTGGTCTCTGCAATTATTATACTTTTATATACAGTTAATATACTGAGATTCTGCAGAGAGAGAAATCTATCATCTCATTTATCATGTTACACTAGTTAATATGATCAATATTTACTCAACAATGATAATAATGAGTAAACATACCTCGGGACGAACTTATCAACTTCCGGATTTGTCAAATCTGTTTGATTTCGTTTTATCCGTGTGGCCACATCTTTACGACGTTGGGTAAGTTTCGCCTTTGTTTCAGATAAAGTTTCTAATTCAGGGACATAAAAAACATGCAGAAGACCCCCGAAGAAATTTTTATTGTCGATGAATCGTTTTGCTATTCTGTATGAAAGATTTCATTAATTAATCTTCTGTTTCAAGTACCATCAAGATAATAGCTATCTTTTTGGAATAGAAATATATGATACCTTGCGCTCTGGATACGTGCATAATGTATATGATATGTTTCAGTAAACTCTTCCGATGGATACTCAGTCACCAACTGTATTGCTTTTATATCTCCATAAGGACAAGTAAGCTTTTTTACTTCTTCACCTAGCTTGATATTTGGCACTCCACATATTAGCAAATGCTGTGATTCGTCATTAATTGTGTAAACCTGTTACATAGAGCTGGTACGTCAAGGAAATAGTTTGCGAGGAACCAGTTAGTATGGCTTGTGAAAAAAATTGTCCAAACTTACAAAATCTTAATTTTTTAAAACTTAAAACTATATAATAATTATTATAATTGCAAGAGAGCATTAGTCCCATTAGTCCACAATAGATGTAGTGGTAAAATGACCAGATATCCAGTTTTCTCCAGAACAATTTTTCATCCTTTGTCTCAGAATTTTTTTAATGCTATTTGGGACGCCAATTTGTTCTAAACTCAACCAAACTGTCCTGGTTTACATAGATATAGAACTCAAACTACATACACAAAGTTCTTTTACTATTTCACAATCATGTAAAATTTTGAGTTATTAATTAAAAATTGGCAAATGACTATACGCCATTTTGGCTTTTTTGCCAAAAACACTTTTTGACAGAATTTATATTACATTTTTAGTCTTAAAGCAAAACTATTGTGGATCGGGACTTGACACGCATCTCGGTACCTTACTTAACTTAGCCTACCATAACACAGTAACAGATAAATTGTAACAAGGCGAATAATGTGAGAAATTCAATGCTAGAGTAGGATACAGGTCCCCAACGCTACCTTGACAGATGTCAATCTTTTCCCTTGCCTGTAAGGTGGTCGGGTTTTACACAGTTTTTGCTGCACATGATGCGGCATGTAAGTTATCGTGCATTTCTGCTCTGCCATAGCCTGTTGTCTGATACAATTATCGTATTTCAGCACTAAACACAACAATGAAACTAGAAAAGAGATTTGCAGGTGAAAAAAGTGAGTAATCAGAAAATATAAATATATTGTGTTGGTAAGTAAACACTTGCTTTCCCCACTTACTAATCAATATTTGTTTAATATCTTTCTCTCTTTGGGGTGCGTTCAGAGAGCCATAAGACGAACGAACGAAAATGCTGTATGTAAGCGTTAACGCTATAAGCGAAAAAGTGTACACAAAGCGAACGCACCCTACGTGACATAAACTATAAATTTTCAGTATTGGCAGTGAATTTCGGAACGCAGCCAAAGTAATGGCTCCTGAGAGTCGATTGTGTATCTCGAAACGGAATGAAAATTACAAAAGTGAGCAAATTCACTAGACATTGACCAACAAAGTTATAAATATTCTAGTAAATTTGCTCACTTTTGTCATTTTTATTCTGTTTTGAGATACACAATCGACCCCCTGCACACAGGATGCGGAATGTTTGCCGCGCGGTGAAAGTTCGCGCGACAGCCAATCAATATGCTGCTTTCCGTAATAACCTTCTAGCTCTTATGGAAAAACAACATATTGATTGGCTGTCGCGCGGACTTCCGTCGCACGGCAAGCATTACCGCGTCCTGTGTGTAGGAGCCATAACATATACTAGTGTTTCTAGTAATAGAGTGCACCCGGATGAGGAATCTGAACGCACCCAAAGAAGATTACTAGGAAGGAAATTTATAGGTTTTATATTTGTTTAATAAGTTATGTTAGAACGCAAAGATTGTGCTGTGTTCCAAAATTCATTACCAAGACTGAAAAGCTATAGTTTATGTTTATATTATAAATTTTCACGCTATCAATAATTCTGAAACACACCCAGAGTCTCTCTCTCTCTCTCTCTCTCTCTCTCTCTCTCTCTATAGTTCCAGGTCTGTATTCAGTAGCCCTTTCACCACACATAATTACATCCAGCAAGCAATCCAGTACGAAAACAAGTACCGTATGCCGTTGGCTTAACATTGGAATAGCTTAAGTCCCGATCTACAACAGATGTAGTAAGCTTTAAGCCGTAAGAAATTAACCAATCACAATTGATTACTCCTCTATAATTCCGCTGTAATTGGTAAATTTCTTAAGGCTTAAAGCTTACTATACCTATTGTAGATCGGGTCTAAAAGAACAAGTCTAAAAATAATAAACAATTCATATCGGATGCAATCTATTAGACGCTGCAAACACTTTAAAGCGTTTAAAGAGAAACCATGATTAGTTTATACGGCGCTTCAAAGTATCTGCAGCGTCTAATAGTTCATATCCATCATCTGTGCTTTGCACACAAAGTGCAACAAAGTGCAATTGCATCAGCAGCCACATGATTGGTCTATGATGATAATACTCAATTTACAATATCTCGCTTTTGATGGAAATTAGTGCGGATCACACCAAGAACAATTTTAATTATATCATAAATTTTACTCTCATTTACATACGCATATCGTTAGTCGCATATAAAATTTATTGAAAATTCGATTTAATAGTTCCCAAGGCGACTTCAAGTTTATCTATTTATGAAGCAATGGCGTTGAGGTTTGAGCCGTGACAACACCTTTAGCCAAATATTAAAGGAAGGAAGGAAGGAAGTTTATCTATTTAGAAACACCAATAATTTCACCTGGAATTCTAATTATAATTCAAGCATCCTGTCAGTCGAACGCAAGTTCATAAAAAAAGTGAATCTAATTTAAAAGTACAAATGTCTATACTAAACTAGATTGCTAACCAAAACTTCGGACTTGTGTCGCATGAGGTTTCCGGTTGTATACGAGAAAATGGCGACGGTCTTGTGTGTGTGACACGTGTCACTTGTGTGAGTATCTTACAACGTTCAACGTGAGTCAGCGTAGCCATTAAATTACTGTCGTAAAACCAAAAATATCAACATCTTATTGAATAAAAAAATGTCGCAAAAAAAAATAAATGGTATTGAACGTTACTCTGAAAATGTGCTCTGCTCATTTTCAACAAAAGAATTTTATGACTAAACGTAGTAAAAATATGTAGCGGTAGCGGCCATTTTCTCACATACCGGAAACTCTATTGGACGCAAGTCATGCTATGCTTTTAGTGCTATGCCTGTTAGCAATCAAGGTTACATTCCAAAACGTCTTTTCCGAGGAAAATTTTACTGTTAAGTCTATAGTGTATATAACATGAACTACAGATTTAAGAGTAAAATTTTTCTCGAAAAGTGTTTTGGAATGCTACCCTAGTTTAATATAGACATCTATGTTTGAAGGAGTATCACTTGAAAACCCCAGCGATCTATTTTTTACAGGTGTATCATAGGCGTTTTTTGGTTTCGTAATCACGGTAATGTTTGGTTGGTTAGTTGGCGCACTTATGGCTCCTGCCCACAGGACACGGCAACGCTTGCCGCGCGGCGGAAATTCGCGCAACAACCAATCAATATGTTGTTTTTCTGTAAGAGCTACAAGGTTATTACGGAAAGCAGCATATTGATTGGCTGTCGCACGAACTTCCGCCGCGCGGCAAGTGTTCCCTAATAGCACACATGTTCAAAAGACGTCCAGAGAACATCCAGAAAACATTCAGAGGACATTCTATGTTCTATGGATATCCAGTTCCCTATGGACGTTCCCTGAACATTGCGTGCTATTAGGGTTGCCACGTCCTGTGGGCAGGAGTCATTAGTCCCAGTTCCATAATCTCCAGTTAACTTAACTGGCTGGTTATTCTATTGGACTTGATCAATCGCATTTGACATTGGCTGCATTCAGCAGACTCAACAGTTGCACAACAGTTGAATAATTTGTCAATGTAATTGGTCTAGATTTAGGGATCTAATAGCAAGAACCAATAATCGTTGATTGCTCACTGAGCGCTTTTTCTACTGAATGCGCCCATTAAGAAGAGTTAATCAAAATTAACCAATCACTATTGGGACTTAACCGGTAGTTAAAATTAAACGGATATTGTAAAACTTGGCCTTAACGCCACGAGCGTCATTCTATCTTTGTTGCTCGAGGCGTTACGAGCGTTAAGTGGATCAAACCAACCAACCAAACGGTATCGTGGTCACGAAACGAAAAAACGCCTCATGTTATACTTTGTTTACGCTTCAAGTGAAATTAGTATATATTCGACAATTGATGAAAGAGAGAACGAAATAGAAAGATTACACGAGAGTTCAGAAAGTGTAGTTGCGAAGAACAGAACTCGATAATATCCTGTGTCGCCATCTTCCATTTGACGACGCGCGTCGACGTCGCTCTATCTCTGTTTCTTATCGCATATTAAACAGAAACAAAATGATATTCGCGTCAACACGAGCGCCAAATGAAACGTTAAGTTGTTTAACGTCGCAAGTGATTCAGAGTGACTGATAGACCAATTATATTGCATCATTTGATATTCGGAAGTGTTTGCAATGTCAAACGGACTCTGGTCGTAAAGTAACTACATAGCCTTGACACAGGCGCTGATATCTCTGTCGACGCTCCTGTGCCCCTACCATCCACCACAAAAACTGCGCTCGGCGCGTTGCATGCTTCAAGCGGCGGTCCGTCCATACTCACGTTCGGCCGCACCCGGCGTTGCGCTCTTCGTTTTTATCGAAATTTTCCGTGGTGTCGACGACGCGCTCACATCGGACAACGCGCAAACGATTCCAGAGCGATCAACAGACGAGACAACAGCATCGTACGACGCGCTATCCGGCGCTATCGGGTAAGTACATTGAATGTTAGGTGTGCGTTGTTTCCGCTGACTGGCTGGCGCGACGCGTCGAGTACAACGAGCTGTTGGCGCGCGCGACCGAGAGACACCGTCACGCGAGAAAAAGAGCGTCGTGTACAGCCGCGTCCGTTTCGATTCCGAAGCCTGCTGAGCCGTGCAAAAGTAGGTGACACAACATGTGCCGAAGCCGTCGGACAACATGACGCGCAAAAGCAGACGTCGACAAGGACATCGGTGCGCTTCGATTCGTCACAGCGAGTTCGATCAACAGCGGAAGATCAAGAGCGCGTCGGCGACCTGGGGCCAACCTGCCGTCGGCGCGCTTTGTCGCAGCTTCGCCGCGGCCGATCACCGCGTCGTGCTCGTCGAAAGCGAGCGACGTCGCATCCGACGGAGATGATCCGACGGCGAGAGCTACTCGTGGTGCAACGCACAGCATGATCGATGCTCGCTTATCAATAGACGCAAAGGTCCACGAGATCGGGCAACGACGAGCGCGAGCGGCGCGACGGTGCTATTGTCACGACGATATCGGCGGATATCGACAACGTCGGTCTGATGACAATAACGTTCCGCGACGCGTCGGTACCTCACAGCGCGCGTTCGCTACGAGAGATCAGCGAGAGCGCAGCTGAGAGGCCGGCGACGTACGTAGCCGCGTATGCCGCGTGGTACGTAGACTCACACTCACACGACGCTGGGCCGCTAATACGTGCGCATCTCGAGGCACGGACATAGGCGCGCGCATGCGCAGACGCATTCGGTTCGCACCGGAGACGCGCTGCGAACGTGTGCCTTCGCTACTGCTGTCGCCGCCGTATTCGCACAGTTGCCGCGGCTGTGCGAGGTTCGTTTGTGCGTCCGCCCGCCCGTCCGTCCGTCCGTCGCTCGCTCGTTGGCTCGTCAGCCCATTTGCTCGCTCGCTCGCTCGTTGGCGCGCCCGCGCGCATCTCTCTATCTCGCTGACATTTCGGAAGTTCCATCCGCGCCGCGTGATCCGCGCTCTTCTCCCGATCGCCACGGCCCGCTTGCGTGGCAGACTTTTGGCCGGGAAATCCGTCGACTCGCAACGGAGTTCCCCGACGACGGTGCGCGCTTATTACGCGCCATCGGCACGCAGGTAAGCAAGCAAGCACGCACGCATACACACACATACGCGTGCGCGCGCGCGCGCAACATACCGAGTTCGGCGCGCGGGCTAACATCTCGCGTCTCCCCGCCGACGGAAAAACATTTCCAGCGTCCGTGGTGTCCGCGACACGGTGCGCGGTGGTCGCACCGATCAAGTGTCGAGTCCGTACGACGTTGTTTACGGGCGCGAAAATTGGCCGATCGTCCCTCAGCACCGGCTGAATGGCGAGCCGGACGGGTGCGATTGGCTAAGGACCGGCCAATCGGCACTCGGTTATAACCCGCGCGACGTCGACGCACCGGGAACTTGCGAGTTCGCTTCTCTCGGTGCGTAGTCGTGGTCGGTCGGCGGGCCAGCATTTGTTCGCGCCGAGGGTGTGAAACGCGTCGCACCGCAGTTCCCGATGTTCGATCCGCGGCGCGCCGGCGAGAGAGATTATCACGCGCGCGCCTGTACGTCGTATATACCTCTTTTCCTTTCTCCCTCTTTCTCGCTCGCTCTCTTTCTCCATCTTGCTTTGCCGCTTGCTCACTCGCTTCTGTCGCCGTCCGTGCCGGAGAGTGCGGCAGTGTAATTTGTGCGAGGCGATAAGAGCGCGCAGCTTCGATTCAAAAACTTTTCTCGGAAGCGTGCCGCTCGCCGACAGATACGCTGGAGTCACGTCATTGTTCGCCGTCAACCGTCCTCGTCGCCGCCGTCGCTCGCGATAGTGATCCGCGCGCGTCTAATTAAAGAGGGCGACGCGTCCGCCGGGATATTTCGCGCGTTTCTCGGGCGCGCCATAACTCGCGCGACGATCGCAGGCGCGAATCGACTCGACTCGCCGCGCGATCTTCGATCATTCGCCGGTTCGTGCAGCGGCCCGTGCAGCGCGTGTCGCCGTCGGCCGCTGAGTCGCTGCATCTCCCTCTTCCTCTTTCTCTCTTTCCGTTGCCTCTCTTTCTTTCTTTCTCTCTGTCGCGCTCGTTACGTGGAGCAGCGTGGACGCGCGTCGCGCTCGTCGGCGCCTCGAAGGATTTATCGCGCGCAGCGACGAGAGCACGCGGCGATGATAGCGCGCGCGCCAGAGTGAGCTCGATAGAGCGCGGCTGTGATAGTGATAGAGACAAGAGAGCGGTTCCTTCGGCTGCGCGATCCCGCGGAGCGGCGCGAGAGGAAACACGATCGACGTCACCGGCGGACGGACGAACGAACGAATTGACTGACTGACGTACGAGCGCGCCATCGATGGCGAGCTCTCTATATATCGCGAACGTTCCGGTGATATTGAAAATAATCGTCCTGCGAGAAGCGCGACGTAGGATTTAAATTTGGTATCGGCGCTGCGTGCCGTGCACGGGACGGGCCAGCCACCCGCTCGTTCGCTCGCTTTCGCGCTCGCACGAGGGACCGCGATCGAGCGCGCGTGAGCCGCGTCGAGACGTGGGCGAGACGGAGAGGGAAAATCGGGCTACCCGGTGTGCGCGGCGCGACGCGGGTCGCGGTGTGGACACACGGTGCGACGCGCGTTCCTAAAGCGAAGACTTGTACGTTTTTAAAGGTGCGAAAGCTCATCGTCGCTCGTTGGTACCTATTGCTGTCATCATTGTCGTCATTGTCGTCATCGGCATCATCATCATCATCAACGTCCCCGTTGTCACGGTCAACCTCGACAGTGGCGGTAGTAACGTTGAATGAATGGTTAGCACTCGGTCACGAGGTAACGTCGCGTCCCGGTGATCGTCGACAGGAGAAATCACGAAGATGCATCCGAACCTGGTGGAAGCGCGTATAGCTCTCGAGGACCAGATTCTTGAAGCGATCGATCAACTGCGTAAACGTAAAGCACGGCCCGATGCCGACCGCATCTGCAACTTTCTGCTGAGGAAGTACTCAGTGGATGCTCGCGACACAATCGCTGATCTGCATCGGTTGATCGAGGTCGAGAAGGTGATACAAGTGGATTACAAGGGACACACGAGCTACCGCAACGCGTCCAAATGGTCACGTCTGCAACTTTACAAGAACCGACCGGAGGGTTTCATCAAGGAGAAGCTCAACTCGAACATGATATCGACCGCGGTCTCCGAACTCGTCGTCGGTGAGCCGGACTATCTGGACCAGGGCGTGCCCGCCGGTCGGCTGATCGAGCAGCTACTCGATGGCGTTTCGAGCCCGACGTCCCGACGCATGGTCGAGGAGTTTCTCAACAAGGAAGTCGCATGCGGCAACATCACGCGCCTGTCCAACGGCAATTACACGCTGGTGGCGACGTCCGATGTGTCGACGCCCGCGGCGCCGGACGCGCCGCGACGCGATTCTGCGACGTCGTCGACCACGGCCGCCGCCGCCACCACCCCCGCCTCCGCGTCGTCGCGCGGCTCTCAGCAAAACGGCAACTCGGCGCGACGTGTCGGCAAGGGAACAGCCGCCAGCAAGACTACCAGCAGCCGCAGCAGCAGCAGGAGCAGTAGCAGGAGCAGCAACGGTAGCGGCGCGACTATAAGAAGGAGGAAAAAGGCGATGATGGCGGCGACAAAGGTTACCGCCGCGGCTACGACGGTAACTGCAGCTACGTCTACGGCCACGACTACGACCGCAACTATGGTTACGGCCACGACCACGGCGACGACCACGACTGCAACGACAACCACCACTACCACCACCACCACCACCCCGTCCGTCACCCCAGCTACGACGAAGGCGCTGACAGCTGCTGCGGTGGCGAAAACATTGGCCGAGGCCGCGGCGGAACTTTACGAGTTCAACGAAACTGACAATCTCACGCCTACCGATTCTAGATCGACTACGCCACGGCTGTCACGGCAAACCAGCCCGAAGATGGATCAGCCAGACGTGAAGAAGACCGAGCCGATGGAGGTCGTAGTCAACAAGAGTGACAGTGTTGAGAGCACTGATGTATCGCCGACCGAGACGATGGAGTGCGACGACAAGCAAGAACGTGCTCCAGAGGAGGCACTCGTCTCACCTCCCGTCGTGGAAGAGTCACCCAAGTGCAACGACGTCGTCCAAACGACGCCTAACCTCAAAAGGCCCACCAAAGCTGAGCGTAAGCAGCGTTTGTTTGTGAGAACGGAAGACCCAATGGACATAAAGTTCGAGGATGATCCCAGGGACAGTAAGGAAGAGTTGGAAGCGCTCAAGGACAAACGAGATGAGACAGATCGACGGTCAAGTGATGATCGCGAGGACGAGGAAGCCGGCAGAAGCTCCACGAATACATCACCAACACCGTCCAACGTAAACGCCAGTGGATTCCGCAGCGCACGTAGAAAAGTAATGCAAATTTTCCATGACGTTTCTCCGTGAGCTAAATATCCCATTTACAGAACTAATAAGAAAGCATAATCAGTGTGATTTACATTCTTATTAATAAGTAATTCATAGAATTATTGACTCTAATGTTTATATAAAACTTTGATTTATAAGCAATCAGAAAATATAATAGGAAATAAAATAAATAAATAAAAATTAATTAAAATTTTAATGAGATATTGGCTGCAATAATTGAACTGGAAAATGAATTATGTTCTAATTACTGAATAATATAGACTCAATAATTGAATGCTTATGAAGGCTCCTGGCCCCTCGCATTGTCTTTAATGACATCAGAGAAGCGGGAAGATATATGCTAAAAATTCTTACGAAATACGTTAAAATAAAAATATATATCCATACAGTAACACTTGCAATCGATTAAACAAATTTGTAAGATATTCCGTGCACTCCTCTTTTATTCTAACAATCAATAATTTATCGTAAATTAACGTGATATACAATTCATCTTCTTAACCTATTTCTTCGCCTATTTCTATTCAGGTTAATTTACAAAAAATTATTTATTGTTAGAACAAAAGGGGAATGCACGGAATATCTTACAAATTTGTTTAATCGATTGCAAGAGTTACTTTATAAATATTTATTTTTATTTTAACGTATTTCGCAAGAATTTTTAGCATGCATTTTCTCGCTTTTGACGTCATTAAAAAGAGATAGACGATGCGAGAGGCCAGGAGCCTTAAATAATACTACACATTAGCATAGATATATCTTTTAACAAAATTTCAAAGACTTTTTAGAAATATCAAATTCATATATATATATATATATATATATTATATATTATTAATGTTCCAATCGCTAGGACAATGATTATTAGAACATTTACCTTAATTCTCTAGAATATCTGACATATGGTAGTTTAATTTTGATATCAATAACAATTCATTAGTATTCTACTTACTAATGTATCAGATACTGGAGAGTTTTCTTGAATTTTTTGTTAAAAATAACCATGTTTATGACTTCACTATACAGAATATGAAACTAAATTTAATGATATTCCTATTTTAGAGAGCAAAAAAGGTCTTTGACCCCTCGGACAACAATCTAGTAAAACGAAAACGTGGCAGACAGCCAAATAGTCAAAATAAAAATGCACTAACTCAGGATTCCCAGGATGTCACCAAAGTACTCCTCAAGGATGGACCCTGCAGACAGTGTAGTCTTTGTGCCAAAGAGAAGCAAGAAGCATTGATAGCTTGTAGAGACTGCACAGTACGAGGTAATTCTTGAACCTGTTCCATTTAATTCCTTTTTTTATCAAGGTATCTGTATATATTTATCATATTCGTTTACAGCACACCCAAGTTGTATTTATAGCCCAGAGGAGATGATTCAGAAGGCCAATACTAATTGGCAGTGTGAGCGCTGCAAAAGTTGTACAGTATGTTGCGAAACTTCTGATGCTGTAAGTTTTCCATTGAGATATTTATTCCCCATTTGTACATACAATATTCTTTTATAATATGATGTAATATTTTCATTTATCGATTAGTTTCATCTTGGATTTTTCCTCTTCTCTCTTTTTTACTCTCTCAATTTTCACTTGTTCTTTTATTTTCAGGGTCCCCTGGTGACTTGTTTCAGCTGCGACGATGCCTATCACTACTACTGCCATACACCGCGTGTCACAACGCCGAAAACGAACTCCAAATGGTACTGCAACGATTGCTTGCAGAAGCAGTACAAGACGAACGTCACCAGTCAGAATGTTAACTCGATTAACACGAGTAGACCGAATACTCCGTCCAATACACCTGTTTTACCACCGGTCCTTAGCCCGCAAGTCTCTCCCGCCAGGGGTTCTGATCAAATGGAAGACGATGCTCCAAGAGACAAAATCGATCCTAATATACCGGATGCCTCTGATTGGACTTCCGAGCAAGTATATCAGTATTTTGCCAGGCTATTTCCCAAAGAAGCCGAAGTTTTTAGACATCAGGTAAATGCCCAAATTAGTTTGCCAGATAGATAACCCAATACGATTGTCTTGAAATTTGAAAATTATGAAATTAACGCACTTGTTCCTACATATTTCAGGAAATTGACGGTCATTCACTTCTTTTGTTGAAACGATCGGACGTGCTGACTGGACTTGACTTACTCCTGGGGCCTGCATTAAAGATTTACCGACACGTCCTGAAACTTCAAGTGCGCAGAGACGATCCCAAGCTCTATTGGTTATAATACAAGGACGATATCTTGCATGTGATCAAAAGCGCCGATTTTTTCCCGGTGTCGTTTTGTATAGTGTACAAATTGCGAGCCTTCGTATTGATTAAGATCGCGACTTTATCTGATTTTTCAATTAAAGTCATTCAATCTATGTAAATACAAGTGATTTATTTTTGTATTATTTCAATCGTCTCTTGTGCGAAACGTGATCGATCTGTAGACGGAAGTATACGTACATAGAGACAGGATAATGCTTTATACTTGAAATTGTAACGATATTATTTGCAGCATGTTTTTTGTAACTTTTATAAGTACTTCGTTATATAATATTGCATCTACATACACAAATGAATATAGAAAGGGGCACAAATATTCTTACGTATACATATATTGCTTAAAATTTCAATCCCATTTAGGTACTGTTGTATTTCGAAGTACTTGAAAAGTTTAAATAAGTTCCAGTAAGTTTGTTACATTATGTAATGATATAATGTTTATTATATTTTCTAACTGCTTACTCTTATGCAGAATATAATTCGTATGTTTCATAATACTTGTGACACATGGCATAGAAACTCCTGTTTATGTCTACGTAGTGTTATGTTTCCAAGTATTCATGAAAAGTTCAAACATGCTACAGATGTTATTGGTACTATTCAAAATGTACGTAATCCTAATCCCTGTGTATAATACGTATACACGCCGTCCTTTTAAACGTGTACGGTATTTTCTAAGAAGATGCAGCTATTTTTCATCGGAGTTGTTACTTGTTAACGTTAACTTAAGTCTATATTGAGAATTTTAGACTGTTTGAAAGAAAAAAAAGATATGTATGTTGAAAGAAGGAAGATTATTTCGAAGCGATTATTTATTACATACTTTTGTATTATAACAAACTTGAATTTTATTATTCGGTTTTACACATACAAAGGTAACACACATTTATTTGTAGAACATAATTATAAGATATTCTGCTGAGGAACATGGTACTTTGGTTTCACAATGTACTTTTCTATGCAATAAATATTTTGATAATTACAAGTTTTAATCATAATCTCTTAATTGTAAATTTTTCTGGAGATACATACAGACACGTACTATACTATAGTGCTGATTACTTTCAATAGATTGCAAGGGAGAAACACGCAAAGTCTTATTTTCTTTCTACGCTTGAGGATAATACTAATATCGATAACGACAAAATTTAAGAATATGTAAGTCTTGCGAGAACAGGAACTTGAATATTTATTTTTGTACGATACACACATTATATTCTCTAGATCACATGTAAATTTCCACAAGATTTAATTCGAGAAACTTTCAAGACTGCGCGATCGCGATACTACGAAGCTAAGCTGCTGCATAAAGAAATCTCAACATATTCTTACAGATGTCAGTAACTCTACAGGAAAGAGAGATATAAATATAACAATAATTATAACTTATAATAAATATAACAATAAATATAACTTAATTATCCTAATTATCACTGTTCTTTTTCTGCATGAAAGTAAACAATGTAAAAAATATTCGTAAACAAACCGTGTAAATGAAGCTGCGCGATAGAAGGAATAACGTAATGTTTTATAATAAATATTGCAATGAATTACTAACACTTTCGCGTTGAAATATATTGGGCTGTAATATTACACACGTATAACAATATATGCATCTCTTTGAACAGAGATACTTCAATCGCGTATCGCTTGTAGCTAAAAATGTAAAAGTGCTTTGTCGGTACGCACATACTCTATACATGCATATATAAATTATAAAGATGATAGAGGTTCTTAAATGCGTGATAAATCGAGTGTCAAAGAGACCAACGAGAGCTAGAACAATGAGTGTTAGATAGCCTATATCAACAATAAAATCCGAAATCAGTCTGAAATTTGTCTTTCGTATACGCCTACGAAATTGAATTTCGGATCGTTTTGCCGATACATGACATTAGCACCTGTGATTCAGATTCTCATTACTTCTTGTTACATTTGATCAACACACACACACATATATATATATATATATGTGTGTGTGTGTGTGTGTATACACACACTTTATCGACACACACACACACACACACATACATGTGTGTGTGTGTATATATATGTATACTTAATAATATATCGTTTTATACGCTATACAAACAAGTTCTAAGATACGATATGATGTTTTATAAAAATTCCGAAAAGATTCGAAATGCGTGTATATATAAAATATATGTCGAATATAATTATATATATTCTGTTTATATATCGTAATCGCCGCGCGAAAGAAAAGGGCAGCTACCGTGATTCTCGCATATAACGTACCTGAATACGAGATACAGTTTACTGACAAAGCTACATGAATTTCAAGTAGCAAAGTAACATATCGGGGTCGAAAAAACCGCGAACGCAATCACCTATCTACTAATTATTTGCTAATCGGGTAGAAATCAAACACAAAATTCAGAAATCTCTCGCAAGAATTTCGCAAAAGATTCTTCGTGAGACAAAGACAAATATGTGTGTACGCGCCGCGCGCGTACGAATATATTTATATAATACAAAATATTTTTTTTATATAACACTTTCACATAGACAGATTTGAAATTTGACTAATATATCACGACATGTATAAATCCTTCAACTATCTCTGCGACTTTGTGTATTGTACTATCGTCTTTTCGACCCTCGGATAACTAGTCGAGAAACAATAAGTGCAATAAAACCAAACGACACTTTGATTATGCATTTATATTGTCGTCGAAAAAGTTTTGCATTTACTTCTGTTATGAGTTTGAACTTTCGTTGTATGGCAATTGCATCGGTCGTATGTTTAAATACACGTGTAGAAATTTTGTCCAATTGTGCTCTCGTGGACATCGTAAAAGAGGCGAAAAAGTTTTGTATTCGCGTTTCGATATTAAAAGTCAATATCTCTTTTTTGGTATACGCACACACACATACATACTTAGAAAATTATAATAGATCAGTCTGAAATACAATTATCAACGTAAATTTCTCTAAAAGCTCGATATTAAAAACATTTCAGTTTGGAAACTTTATATTGTTGAATAAGCATTGTCTTGTCCTTTTATCTTTATCACTTCATATTGTACATTAATATACCACATATGTTAACATATAACGTATCTTACATTAATACATAATATTAATAACATAATATTATACTTATGTATCGATGATCATATATGTTAAATAAGTTAGCGTCAACTACTTTATAAATAGAAAAAAGAAAAGGTGGTATAATTTCCCTGTGAGACATTACTGCAAAATGCAAAATCTTTCGGGATGTGTGATTACTATATAAACTTAAATAATACATTCACAGTAATGTATTATTTTTATATCTATATATATCATTGCATTGTTGTGTTATGCTGGGGCTTCCGAGACATTACACAATCACGTCTCGTTGGATCTTCAATCGTGAAACGTCGTATGTGTGATTTAAACATCGAATATTCAAATATAGTTTTATTTCAGTTAAAACTCACTCATTCATCATCGGACGATAATGGAACGTATTTAGGCGGCGGCTCCTTATACATTGACTCCCTGTACAGCGGTATGTACAATGTAACCGTCGATGGGGTAGACTGATTCGCCAAGGTGCTTTTCTGGCAAAGCATGCTTCTTAGCAACATGACCGCCCAGAACATAAACAGCATAATAATGACAAGTCCCACTATAGTAGGAGCAAGGTGCCAGTAACGTATATGCTTCGAGGCGCAATGAAACCAGTTGGATGGAGGCATTGGCGCAGCTTGTTCGGTTTCCCCGGAATAGTCGGAAGATAAAGCATAGTCGACGGTCTACAGTTTCATTAATTGTGAGTAACAATACATATTTATGACGCGTGCTTTTATGTTTCATAATTATCAGAAAAACATTATGTATTGCTACTATTATTACCAACAATTCAGTAAACATCCAACATAGTTACATTACATCAGTGTTATCATTTCCCACTCAACAATGGACGCGTTCAGTGAAAAAAACGCTCAGTGAGCAGTCAGCGATTATTGGTTCTTACTGTTAGATCCGTAAATCTTGACTAATTACATTGACGAATTATTCAACTGTTGTGCAATTGTTGAATCTGCTGAATGCAGCCATTGTAAATTCAATACAATGTGTGTGTTAATAGTTACATTGTTGAGTGGGAAATTATAATAGTAATGTTATACTATTGATAGTTAATGTTTACTGAGAAGTGATTAATGCTAAAACTACTGATTAACGACCTATTTCTATCAGAGCAGTTAAAATGACAAGTTTTTGAAAAAATACAAGGGAAAAAGTTCATTTGCACCGTTTTATAGTTTTATTCAACGTTAATTAAACATATAAAGTTCACTGTTATAAATTTGCGTAATTTTTATAAAAAATTACAAATCTGTCATTTTTACTGCTTTAATAAGCCCAATACTAAAGAAAACATCACACTTACCCCAGCATCCATTGGTACTGTCTTAACGTACGTCTGTGGCAATTTGAAACCATTGGAATCCCACCACCTAGGCAGCAGTTCCTTCCGCAACCCAGGATCGGTCAATATATCGTTCTCCGGAACATCAGGCGACATTAGCAGGACATTAGAATCTATGCCATCCTCCATGCATATGGCAATGGAAAATAGAGCTAACAAGTCTGATACTCGTTGCTTGGCCATAAAATCACAACCAGTTCCGCAAGCATAGCGATCTTGTAATTCTATGTAAGCTTCTGTACATGCTATAAATGGTACAAAGTCATTATAAAATATTGTAACACATAAGTAGAGATTTAGAATAACGTACAATACTAACAGTGACCCAAATAGCTGACTCTACAAAAGCAAATTTTTATACAGTGTCTGCTATGTATTTTGTCAGCAGTCTGGTAGCAGAAATGCAACAAGATAGTAAAGTATGATGGCAACAGACTAGCAAAGTATAATGGCAAGATTGAACTGCTTGAACGCTGCCATCAATCTGCTGTCAAATTATATCAACAGACTCTGTTTACAGAACATGAGTTTAATGCAGGAAAACAGACAGATAGCTATTGTATTGATCTGTATAAATCAGAAGTGTTCTGATCAAATCTGCTACCAATCCACTGGCTACTGGTAATACATGTTGTTTATTAGAGAATAAAAAAAGAGTTTTCACATGAAGAATATAGAGATATTTCTAAAAATTTAACACTTTAAGGAAGACATACAAGCCTCGCAAGCGTTTCTTGTGCCGTTCAAACTATTGGGCTCCAGTCCATAGCGCAAATCAACCAGGTTAAAGAATCTGCAACCTCGTTGACAACAAGACTTCACATACATATTCTAAAAGAAATTCACTAATTGTACAGATAAATATAAAATGAGAAATATAAAATTAGAATGAGACAGAACACACAACCAAATGAATTATATTCAACAAATGAATGTATAATATAGAATTTGATGTGGGAAGAAGCATACATTGGCAAAAGTAGCGGGTGTCTTCTCGCATAAGCTGATGCAGGGATCTTCACGATGGATTACACTGCGAGACGTATGGCCGCGAGTCAACGTCATAATCAGCGGCATTAGCAACGCAATGATCTCAATGTTGCCTCTCATTTTTAGATGCTGTTATAACACTTTGTGATTCAACTCTCTTTTTATTTGTTTTTTTTCTGCCTATCCAAGAGACGAATCTACCAACTGTCAAAGAATATAGACGCACTGTTTTAGTTTCACTTCTTTCCTGTTCAATATCGTTCACTCCCAAATTACAGCTTTTAGATTTTCGTTATGTACAACTTCATCGTGCTCCAACACGCACCACTATATTATTGAAATTATCTGACGGACGCGAAGGGCGATCCCAATTTGATGGGCGGACGAATAATCGAGCAAATATCGATTCGATTACAGTACGAAGCATCTCTACGCTGACCTGCTCGCTTTACGTGCACTTTCTATGTGCAAAGTAAAATAGATATATACATTTAGATGTGAGAGCGACTAGAAGAGATGAGAGTAACAAGTGCAGAAATGCAGTTCAAACAAGGATACCTGCTATTGGCTCGCGTGTCTTACTGCCCAGTGAACTAGCCAATAAGATAACTGTGATACAACCATTGAGGGGTACGATCCATTAGATGCTGCAAACGCTTTGAAGTGTTTACAGAAAATCAATGCTCGTTCTATATGGCGCTTCAAAGCATTTGTAGCGTCTAATAGACCTGAGACATTAGTAATTAATTTAAATTTAAAAAAAATCGAAGGTTTTAGTGACACTTGCTGTGTTTAAGGTAAATTTACATTCCAATTTGCAAGTAGTGTTCTAGAAATCTTCAGGTGTCAAAAAAATTTAAATTCTTGAAAGGTAATTTTAATTTAGATATCGAATCTCACATCATGTTCTTTCTGTATTTATCGATAATCGATAATATCTCTCGATAATATTTAAAAAGTCTGAACTATAGATAAAGTTAGATTAGCGCTGCAAGTGCTTTAGAGCAATAGACTAATTATATCATTTTCCCAGACAGCACAAATGTCCAAAATCGAGTCATAAGACATCTTTAGGATGTATTTAAGACATCTTTAAATCTTATCCCAGCAAACACAATGTTACATGTAACGTACATGTTAGTTGTAATTTCCTACTCAACAATATAACTATTACATAACACGCATGTTATATAACAGTTATATTGTTGAGTAGGAAACTACAACTAACATGTACGTTACATGTAACATTGTGTTTGCTGGGATAGATGTCTTTAAGACAATACCTTATAAACTTGTTTTAAAGATGTCTTAAAGATGTCTTATGACCCGATTTTGGACATTGTGCTGTCTGGGTTTGTTACAAATTACGGGTTTATTAGACGCTTCGAAGCATTTGCGTTATCAAACAGAGCCTGTCCTATGTTAACTGTTCCATCAATTTATTCGAAACTTTTGTCAATTGTATGTGAAAATAAATAATTTTCTATATTTTGTTTTTCTCTGCGTCTTTTTCTCGTTTTGCTCATACATTTACACTTATTTCACGTTAGATGTAACTGAAACAGTCAAGTCTGTATTTATTCGCTACTAATAGTAGTTAACTTTCCGTTGTGTACTACATATAATAAATTAGATTTTTATTTAAATTAGATTTTTATTTAGATAATTTTGTAATCATTGGCAAAAATAAATTAGTTGAGCGATGATACAACGATGTTAAATAAGATAAGATAGAAAGAGTTATCAGATACCCTTATAGAAATATCATACATTACTTATTTTCAGTATTAAAAACACTGGATAATAAGTAATTATCAATGATTCTTAATATGATATTTCTATAAGGGTAGCTGAGTAAGATATTAAGACGTAAATAAGCAAATCGTGAAACTAATAGGGATCCTGATAGCAAAATGTCAGCAATATGCTGACAAATTGCTGGCAAAATCAATCATCGAATTGCAGCAAATTTGCAGCATGTATACTACCATTATGCTGGCATTATGTCGGCAAAGCATGCCAAAATTACTTGAGGGCAGAGTGCTGCAAAAACCGAACAAGACGTGTCGAGCAACGTGTGACGACAAATTTGCAGTAAACGGCAAGCAAGACGTGCCGAGCAAGGCGTGATGGCAAATTTACGGCAAAAATCGAGCAAGATGTGCCGGCTATGAACAGGCCAAAACTACCCGAGTAGAATTTGCACTTTATGAGAATCTAGTCATTATATAATAAAGTTATATCCAACAGACACATACACATAGTTATTAGCTAGTGTAACTAGACAGTGATGAACCAATAATATAACGCTTTTGCGAATAGCTATATGCAATATATTAACTAATAATAAGATAAAAGAAACAACATAATTATGGTAAAAACCAAACTAGTTGCTAGGCAATATAACTTTTCCTAATGAAGATATAACATAAGTTACCTAATAGTTAGACAAAAAAAATATAACTAGTGATGTAGTTTATTTTCTGCATCAGGCATATCTCATCATTAGTAGATAGACTGTCCTGGTTAAAATTTTTAGTTCTATGAAATGCTATTTGTGTCTTTTAGAGATGACACCAGTGGCTTTTATTATTGAACTCTTCCTAATCATGTAGAACGTAAGTATCTCAGTGTATATTGTCTTGGAAAAAATTCTTTGCTCACATTGGATTTGAACTCGAGATCTTTGGTTCTTCAACCCTTATAGAAAAGTATCACTGGCTGTGATAAATTGGCCAGTAATAAATAGTAATTTTATTACTCGTACGAGTAATAAAATTATTGAACGACAGCAATTATCACTGGCCAAATTATCACTTATCAGTATTAAATTTCTATAAGGGAAGTCTGTCGCCCTGTATGTTACTCCACTTCAACTTCACTAACAAACGTGTTCGTACGGCCCTGATATGTTACATGAGATTTGGCACGACTTGCTCGGCTTTTGCCGCAAATTTCGTCTTGTTCGCTATTTGCTGCAAATTTGTTATCACACTCGGCACGATTTGCTCAGTTTCTGCTATCAATATGCCATCATACTACTAATGATAGATTGTCCGGTCCGGTCCGGTTTTTGTCAGCAGTTTGCTATCACGCTTGCTAACAGGTCGTGTCGCAATATTGCACACATTTTGCCGACATTACTTGATATAGCAAATCATGCTGCAATTTTGTCGTTATTCTGTTGATAAAACTTGCAGCACGCTTTGCCAAAATTTGCTTTTGGCACGTTTGGCTATCAGGGGATATATTATAATCGTCATTTCGCCAGCAGTTTCATCGCTCGTTGATATTGTATAGAAATGCTCTATACAATTTGCTTCGTTAGGACAAAACATGTGATCTAGTTTTGTTGATAACGTTATATTGGCAACTGCTTAGATAACAAATTGACAACAATTAAAGCAGTTAATGCTATGAATAAAAACAGCGGAAGATCTTTAAGGATCTTAGCTTTTTCTTTCAATTTTATCGAATATGTTGCTCTACTAAAAAAACAAGAAAGAATAGACGAAGTAAATGTGCAAAATATTTAGAAAATACGATAGTCGTATTATTGACATACGTGAAATATCCAATGATATCGATAACGTTGTTGCATAAGTGCTTTTATATAATAACATTACAAGCTGTACGTTGCATCTTTCTTCATTTATCACAAACCGCGCGCTGCTATCGTCCAATAGTGTTAGTTACCATGCGCTTATAAATTGTCGTCAATGTAGCCGAGACACTTCAGTCGACGTCATCGAGCGAAATCAACATTAATCAAAGCTGAATACTGTCGGAGGTTTTTTCTTGCCGTTCGTTAATATCAATCACGGGCTTTTCAAACCATACGTAAGCAATCTACTACAAAAAACACTAGTGCTTTTAGATAACTGCACCTTCTATACTAAACGCAATGTGCATATGTTTTTACCTTAAAAAAAGTAACAAAACAGAAATGCAGTGCAAAAAGAGTAGTAAAAACAAAGTGGAGCAACTTCGTGCTTGATATTGCCGCAATTTTAATTTCAATTCAAAGAATGTTCTACTCAGATTACAATAATGGACTATTTCGGTTTCGAGAGAAGATTGTTGTTCTTCCGTGTATATGTTTTATAATCAACAAAAATTTTTCTAGTCTATTTTTTATTTACTGACGCTAAATAACTTTACGAAACTCTAGTTATTCAAGTTTAATTTTCCTTCTCTATCTTCGTATGTCGTATAAATATATCGCAAATTGCATTTTGATTTCGAATATCGTATGTTGCACTTGTTTAGAATATCTGAAATAAGTCGTAAAAAACGATCGAGTTATTAATTATATCAGAGTAAATTACAGCATTATATAAATCTATACTGGAATAAGTCATGAGTTCGTACGAGGGCTTTTCTACCAAAGCTATTCACGTTGGACAAAATCCGCAACAATGGAGTCATTATGCATTGGTACCCCCCATAGTGATGTCTACTAATTTTCAACAAAATCCTTCTGATCATAGAGTAAGAGAAACAAAAAGATCTTGTCATAATTTATTCTTAATTCTACTCAGTCAATGTGTGATTAATCGATATCAATCATTCTCCCAATTCAGCCAATTAGTATCAATTATAACTAGCAAAAGCTTTGTATTCATTTTTATAATTATTAATAAAATTGACATAAATCAAATTTTGTGTATTTTTTTTAGTAAATTTTGAAACAGTTCTTAGCAAAATACGTTTATACTCAGCAAACACAATATTACATGTAACATACATGTTAGTTGTAATTTCTTTCTCAACAATATAACTGTTATATAACATGCGTGTTATGTAACAGTTATATTGTTGAGTAGGAAATTACAACTAACATGTACGTTAGACGTAACATTGTGTTTGCTGGGTAAATTATATTTATGAAATTTCGGATATAATTTGAAAATGTTTCATAGATTTATTCAGAACTAATTATATAATAAGAATTATATAATAAGAAACTAATTATATAATAAGATTATAATATCAATTATCTAATTTAGAGTTTCCTATATGGCAGAAGTGACAATCCTACACGCAAAGTATTAGAAACTTGCCTGGCTGCTCTAGAAGGTGGCAAATGCGCTGTCACTTATTCTTCTGGTTTAGGAGCTACAACAGCATTGACAAGTTTATTAAATTCAGGAGATCATCTTATCGCTGGAGATGAACTTTTCGGTGGAACCAGTAGTTATTTTCGAACCGGCTTAACTAAAAACAATATAGATCTTACTTTTGTAGACATGACCGAGCCACAAAATGTTATTGATGCTCTGAAACCAAATACTAAGGTCAGACTAAAAATAAATAAAATATTATTTAAAATTATTTTTAAGAGAACATTTTAAAATATTTAATAAAACTGCTTTAAATATTCTTTGATATATTTTTTACTATATATTATCATTATTATCACTTACCGCATATCATATTATTGCCTGTTCGGTTATTATATTGCAAATTATTCCAATTACAGATGATATGGTTAGAGTCGCCAACGAATCCCACGCTAAAACTGATTGACATCAAAGCTATCGTTGACATTGTAAAGTCTCGCCAGTCAGACATAATAATAATTGTCGATAACACATTTTTGACGTGTTATTACCAAGTGCGTTTTATATTTTGGAAGAAATAATATCAATATATGTTCTGTTTGGCTTCTGTGTTGGTGTCGGATCCTTCATAAATTTATTTTCAACAATTCGTGAAGATTACATTTTACAGTTTCAGAAAGAGGAGTAATACGAAACTGAGTTGCTCCTCTGCCGATATTTTTTATAACAAATGTAGAAGAGTTTGAATTTCATATTTTTTTTATACGCATGCTAACCACTTTTGCTATATAAACTGCAACATGATCGAGAATTTCATAAACTCCTATTGTATTCCGTAAGAACCATTTGTGTTGCTAAATAATATCTATTTTTGTAGATGGTTTTTATATCATATTCGTTCATAATTCTATCAATTTGTCTGTAATCTCTTATATGTAATAATATCGACGCCAGTAAATATCGACTAAATAAAATTACATCAATTATAATTTCCTACTAAACAATGTAACTATTATGTACGTGTTATATTACACTCGTACTCTGGAGTGGAAAACTGTATAATATTGATTTAATATAACTATTATTCGATATTTATTAGGAATATATGTCTATTAATGGTAACAGATATCCTAACAGATATGCTTTATTTTTAAAACAGAAACCCTTGGAGCTCGGAGTTGACATAGTAATGTATTCCTTAACAAAGTATATGAATGGCCATTCAGATGTTATAATGGGTGCAGGGATTACACGCCGGGACGATCTCGAGAAGAGAATGCGATATTCTCAAAATAGTAAGCCCAAGAAAATTTCTCTTACTTATATTCGATATATAATGTAAACGTTCTTTGAATCTAGCAATGGGAATTATCCCATCACCCCATGACTGCAGCATGGTCATTCGAAGTTTAAAAACGCTCGAAATCAGGATGGAACGGCATATGAAAAATGGTCTGGCCATAGCGAAATTTTTGGAGAGCCATTCTAAAGTGGAGAAAGTGCTCCATCCATGTACGTATTCAATATTCTTCGCTTTATCTCATAATGCAAATTTTAATTATGATAACGAGATATTTAATTATTCGTTTGTTGTACCACTCGTCATTATCTGCCTTATCAATACACAACAAGTTATAGATAAGAAATGTCTTTATGTTGTAGTACTCCCTTCGCACCCGCAACATAAACTCGCAATTAAACAATTAAAAGGTTACAGTGGAATGGTATCTTTCTACTTGAAAAGTGACCCAACGAAGTTCTTAAAGGCACTGAAAGTCTTCACTCAAGCCGGGTCGTTAGGGGGTCCCGACTCATTGGTTGAAATGCCGTAAGAATATACAATTAATTGACCGTAATTATATAAGAATGATCCAACTCACATGAAGTACATTTCAAGAAAAATAAAGATAAAAATATGATACATAATTTTTAAAAGTGTAAATAGCACTAAGGTTTTACACAATCATTCAAGCATGATCAATCTTTTTCTCCTTAAAAGTATTTATAGGCAAGGTTAAACCTTAAAGAAATGGGTAAAAAACGCACTACTAGAAAATAGAAACTGTTTTTAATTAATTTTAGGTGCTCATAATGTTTGAATGTTTTTTTATTTCATATAGGAAGATGTATAAACTACTCATTGATAAACAAAAATTCAAAAATCATTATTTTGAGGCTTGGATTATTCCTACATAACTATGGATAATTAGCATTATATATTAAGAAATCTAAAATGCATTATGTATTGATAAATAAATGTTTTCCTTTTTCGTAGCTTCTTCTTGTCGCACTCTTCTATACCCGTGAAAATACGACATGCCTTAGGTATCACTGAAAATTTGATTCGAGTGTCTGTTGGTCTTGAAACAGAGCAGGATCTTATAGCCGATCTCCAACAAGCACTAGATGCTTGCTAATAAAGTTATTTTAAATAGCAACGTAACATAACAAGGGTATGTAACAAGGAAATATTTGCATACATTTTACAATATAATTCAAATTTAAAGAAATTCATATGAAAGTTCCATATTATTGCTTACTGCAAGAGTGATGTAAAGGCATAATTACAACAATAAATACATCTTCGATACGAGCAAAGAGACTTTATATTTATGAAATATTTTTATAGTCGATAATTTCTTGCTATTCATATGAGAAATATATTTTGACACATGTAATCATTTGTTCCAATCTCTTTTCAGTATTCTAGTTTTGAGACTGTTTCAAAATAATAAATTCAGTTTCTAAATATAAATAATTTAAGTTTGAAAAAATGCCATTCATTTATTTATATTAGAAATTAAGAGATAAAAAACCAAATTTTTCTAGTAGAAATTGCAAATAAAGTTAACACAACTGATATTTAATCACTATAGACGTAGAATATTCTCAGAATTCTCAGAAAATCATGTGCTATCTGGGGATGTCTTAAAGATGTCTTATGATCCGATTTTGGACATTGTGCTGTCTGGGTTTATTACGAATTACGGGTTTATTATACGTTTCGAAGCATTTGCGTTATCAAACAGAGCCTGTCCTATGTTAACTGTTCCATCAATTTATTCGAAACTTTTGTCAATTGTATGTGAAAATAAATAATTTTCTATATTTTGTTTTTCTTTCCGCCTTTTTCTCGTTTTGCTCATACATTTACACTTATTTCACGTTAACTGAACTGAATTTCAGACATTGCTCATACATTTACACTTATTTCACGTTAACTGAACTGAATTTCAGACGTAACTGAAACAGTCAAATCTGTACTTATTCGCTACTAATAGTTAACTTTCCGTTGTGTACTACATGTAATAAATTAGATTTTTACTTAACTTTATATAATTTTGTAATCATTGGTTAAATTAGTTGAGCGATGATACAACGATGTTAAATAAGATAAGATAGAAAGAGTTATCAGATAGCTGAGTAAGATATTAAGACGTAAATAAGCAAGTCGTGAAACTAATAGGGATATACTATAATCGTCACTTTGCCAGCAGTTCAACGCTCGTTGATATTCTATAGAAATGCTCTGTACAATTTGCCTCGTTAAGACAAAACACGTGATCTAGTTTTGTTGATCAGCGTTATATTGACCAACTGCTTAGATAACAAATTGACAACAATTAAAGCAGTTAATGCTATGAATAAAAACAGCGGAAGATCTTTAAGGATCTTAGCTTTTTCTTTCAATTTTATCGAATATGTTGCTTTACTAAGAAAACAAGAAAGAATAGAGGAAGTGAATGTGCAAAATATTTAGAAAATACGATATCATTGACATACGTGAAATATCCAATGATATCGATAACGTTGTTGCATAAGTGCTTTTATATAATAACATTGCAAGCTGTACGTTGCATCTTTCTTCATTTATCGCAAACCGCACGCTGCTATCGTCCAACAATGTTAGTTACCATGCGCTTATAAATTGTCGTCAATGTAGCCGAGGCACTTCAGTCGACATCACCGAGCGAAATCAACATCAATCAAAGCTGAATACTGTCGGAGGTTTTTTCTTGCCGTTCGTTAATATCAATCACGGGCTTTTCAAACCATACGTAAGCAATCTACTACAAAAAACATTAGTGCTTTTAGATAACTGCACCTTCTATACTAAACGCAATGTGCATATGTTTTTACCTTGAAAAAAGTAACAAAACAGAAATGCAGTGCAAAAAGAGTAGTAAAAAACAAAGTGGAGCAACTTCGTGCTTGATATTGCCGCAATTTTAATTTCAATTCAAAGAATGTTCTACTCAGATTACAATAATGGACTATTTCGGTTTCGAGAGAAGATTGTTGTTCTTCCGTGTATATGTTTTATAATCAACAAAAATTTTTCTAGTCTATTTTTTATTTACTGACGCTAAATAACTTTACGAAACTCTAGTTATTCAAGTTTAATTTTCCTTCTCTATCTTCGTATGTCGTATAAATATATCGCAAATTGCATTTTGATTTCGAATATCGTATGTTGCACTTGTTTAGAATATCTGAAATAAGTGGTGTAAAAAACGATCGAGTTATTAATTATATCAGAGTAAATTACAGCATTATATAAATCTATACTGGAATAAGTCATGAGTTCGTACGAGGGCTTTTCTACCAAAGCTATTCACGTTGGACAAAATCCGCAACAATGGAGTCATTATGCATTGATACCCCCCATAGTGATGTCTACTAATTTTCAACAAGATCCTTCTGATCATAGAGTAAGAGAAACAAAAAGATTTTGTCAGAATTTATTCTTAATTCTACTCAGTCAGTGTGTGATTAATCAATATCAATTATTCTTTCAATTCAGCCAATTGGTATCAATTATAAGCAAAAGCTTTGTATTCATTTTTATAATTAACAAAATTGACATGAATCAAATTTTGTGCATTGTTTTAGTACATTTTGAAACAGTTTTTAGCAAAATACGTCCATAAATTATATTTATGAAATTTCGGATATAATTTGAAAATATGTTTCATAGACTTACTCAAAAATTACTTATATAATAAGATTATAATATCTAAGATATAATAAGATTATAATATATAAGATTATATAATAAGATTATAATATTACTTATATAATAAGATTATAATATCAATTGTCTAATTTAGAGTTTCCTATACGGCAGAAGTGACAATCCTACACGCAAAGTATTAGAAACTTGCCTGGCTGCTCTAGAAGGTGGCAAATGCGCTGTCACTTATTCTTCTGGTTTAGGAGCTACAACAGCATTGACAAGTTTATTAAATTCAGGAGATCATCTTATCGCTGGAGATGAACTTTATGGTGGAACCAGTCATTATTTTCAAACCGGCTTAACTAAAAACAATATAGATGTTACTTTTATAGACTTGACTGTGCCACAAAATGTTATTGATGCTCTGAAACCAAATACTAAGGTCAGACTAAAAATAAATAAAATATTATTTAAAATTATTTTTAAGAGAACATTTTAAAATATTTAATAAAACTGCTTTAAATATTCTTTGATATATTTTTTACTATATATTCTCATTATTATCACTTACCGCATATCACATTATGGTCTGTTCGGTTATTATATTACAAATTATTCCAATTACAGATGATATGGTTAGAGTCGCCAACGAATCCCACGCTAAAACTGATTGACATCAAAGCTATCGTTGACATTGTAAAGTCTCGCCAGTCAGACATAATAATAATTGTCGATAACACATTTTTGACGTGTTATTACCAAGTGCGTTTTATATTTTGGAAGAAATAATATCAATATATGTTCTGTTTGGCTTCTGTGTTGGTGTCGGATCCTTCATAAATTTATTTTCAACAATTCGTGAAGATTACATTTCACAGTTTCAGAAAGAGGAGTAATACGAAACTAAGTTGCTCTTCTGCCGATATTTTTTATAACAAATGCAGAAGAGTTTGAATTTCATATTTTTTTTATACGCTAATCACTTTTGTTATATAAACTACAACATGATCGAGAATTTCATAAATTCCTATTGTATTCCGTAAGAACCATTTGTGTTGCTAAATAATATCTATTTTTGTAGATGGTTTTTATATCATATTTGTTCATAATTCTATCAATTTGTCTGTAATCTTATATGTAATAATATCGATGCCAGTAAATATCGACTAAATAAAATTACATCAATTATAATTTTCTACTAAACAATATAACTATTATGTACGTGTTATATTACACTCGTACTCTGGAGTGGAAAACTGTATAATATTGATTTAATATAACTATTATTCGATATTTATTAGGAATATATGTCTATTAATGGTAACAGATATCCTAACAGATATGCTTTATTTTTAAAACAGAAACCCTTGGAGCTCGGAGTTGACATAGTAATGTATTCCTTAACAAAGTATATGAATGGCCATTCAGATGTTATAATGGGTGCAGGGATTACACGCCGGGACGATCTCGAGAAGAGAATGCGATATTTTCAAAATAGTAAGCCCAAGAAAATTTCTCTTACTTGTATTCGATATATAATGTAAACGTTCTTTGAATCTAGCAATGGGAATTATCCCATCACCCTATGACTGCAGCATGGTCATTCGAAGTTTAAAAACGCTCGAAATCAGGATGGAACGGCATATGAAAAATGGTCTGGCCATAGCGAAATTTTTGGAGAGCCATTCTAAAGTGGAGAAAGTGCTCCATCCATGTACGTATTCAATATTCTTCGCTTTATCTCATAATGCAAATTTTTATTATGATAACGAGATATTTAATTATTCGTTTGTTGTAACACTCGTCATTATCTGCCTTATCAATACTCAAGTTATAGATAAGAAATGTCTTTATGTTGTAGTACTCCCTTCGCATCCGCAACATAAACTCGCAATTAAACAATTAAAAGGTTACAGTGGAATGGTATCTTTCTACTTGAAAAGTGACCCAACGAAGTTCTTAAAGGCACTGAAAGTCTTCACTCAAGCCGGGTCGTTAGGGGGTCCCGAGTCATTGGTTGAAATGCCGTAAGAGTATACAATTGGCTGTAATTATGTAAGAATCATCCAACTCACATGAAGTATGTTTCAAGAAAAATGAAGATAAAAATGTAATACATAATTTTTAAAATTGTAAATAGCACTAAGGTTTTACACACTCAAATATGATCAATTTTTTTCCTTAAATTATTTATAGGCAAGTTTATAAATTATTTATAAACGTTAAAAAATGGGTGAAAAATGCGCACTACTAAAAAATAGAAACTGTTTTTAATTAATTTTTAATTAAATAATGTTTGAATGTTTTTTTATTTCATATAGGAAGATGTATAAACTACTCATTGGTAAACAAAAATTCAAAAATCACAATTTTGTGGCTTGGATTATTCTTATATAACTATGGATAATTAGCATTATATATTAAGAAATCTAAGATACATTATGTATTGATGTTTTCTTTTGTAGCTTCTTCTTGTCGCACTCTTCTATACCCGTGAAAATACGATACGCCTTAGGTATCACTGAAAATTTGATTCGAATGTCTATTGGTCTTGAAGCAGAGCAGGACCTTATAGCTGATCTCCAACAAGCACTAGATGCTTGCTAATCAAAGTTATTTTAAATAGCAACATAATATAACAAGGGTATGTAACAAGGAAATAGTTGCATACATTTTACAATATAATTCAAATTTAAAGAAATTCATATGAAAGTTCCATATTATTGCTTACTGCAAGAGTGATGTAAAGGCATAATTACAACAATAAATACATCTTCGATACAAGCAAGGAGATTTTTTTTTTATGAAATATTTTTATAGTCGATAATTTCTTGGAATTCACATGAAGAACATATTTTGACACATGTAATCATGTGTTCCAATCTCTCTTCAGTATTTTAGTTTTGAGACTATTTCAAAACAATAAATTCAGTTTCAAAGTATGAATAATTTAAGTTTGAAAAAGTGCCACTCATTTATTTATATTAGAAATTAAGAGATCAAAAACCAAATTTTTCTAGTAGAAATTGCAAATAAAGTTAATACAACTGATATTTAATCACTATAGACAATTTTTATTTGTCACACTTTGTCTTAATAAATTTTTCATGGTATATTTTGTTCCATGTTAAATAAAATACTACCATATAAAAAATAGATGTTGTTTGTACTATCAATGCATTGTAAGTTTATTATTTTTCAAAGAATTTCCTGAACTATATACTAATGCACACAATGAGTTAAAGTGAAAAAAATTTTTTTTACACTCTATTGCATCAATATACACTAGTTTAGGGAGTTCCTTGAGAAAAACAGGCCTTGTAATGTAATTAATTAGTGTAACATTTGACCATGTAACATATTTCTCCTCTTATTGGTATACTATACCATAAACAAAGTTACTTCTCTAGTATATTCATGTGTTGAATGATAACTATTTACAGAATTTTAACTATTTACAAAAGAATCCTTGGCATAAGAGAAATGATTAAGCGGGATAATGCAAGCCAGAGTGGAAGTTAGTTGATTCGTCTGATTCAAAATTTGTAATACGCAACTCTCTATATCTCCAATACATTGTCTAGTAAGAGTTTCATGATTCTTGTAGATAGAGATAGTATATTTTATACTTGGTCTACTTGATATATAATGCCGTATAAATCATCCAGAATCGTCATCGTGCCTGTATATAAGTTACAACCAAGCAATGATGGGATATTGGGAGAATTTCTCTGTGATAGGAGCCCTTTACATATGTGAGATGATGTAGTAGCTCAATACAGCAATTTCCAACGACGGATTTAGGCGCAACATAAAGAACCCATAGGTAGTCCGCACAAAATACCCGACTATTTATCTATTGCAATTTGCCCACGTTTCTTCTGCCAGTGTCTAGAGCTAAGTTATGTTTAGTAATGTGCAAGCAACATGAAAAGTGTAAAGTTAATATTGATATAAGTTAATACTGGTAAGAGATTTTCTGCAGTTTTCCTTGCAACAAATGTTGATATTCGTATGATTAATCAGCTATAGACAAAATAAAATAATAAGTTTATTGTTCATGAACAGCATTCAATTTCTTTTACAAAAATTCTTTTTTTTCTTCTTACAATTCTTTTAGGCAAGGGATCTTACGATATCTTAAAGTAGGCACTGACACTATCACAGCATTTGCGAATAATTGTTCCGATATCTCTTGTCTCTGGTTATTTTCTTCTTCTTTTTATTATTATTTTACTTGGACTCAGACTTATCTCTATTGTTTTTTTACCCAAGATACCGAGATACGAATTCCAAAAAAATCAGTTCCGAAAGTATTCAAACACGTTTTAACGTAACGGCGATTAGGCCGGAACTTCTCTGATTATTTTACTTGGATTCAAACCTTTCTTTAAGTTCTTTCACTAAGGTACGTTTCTCGCCAAAGGGGTTAATTTTCTAGGTCAAAATTTAAGAAGAAGAAGATACGTGTCTCAAAAAATCATAGGTTCAAACATGTTCGCAGAGAGTACAAACTCCCTCTTGTAAAAATTGGTCCCCGTTTTTAGTCGCGCCCTCTGAGATAATCTCTGGATGTGGCCGAACTAAACGGGTCATGCGGAGTGGGAATACAACATCGCGCGAGTTACCGAATACCTCATATAATTTAGTTTCTTCATTTTTTAATTCTTATCATCTTATAAAAATAGTAAGATATATATATTTATATATTTATACATATGCATATATGCATGCACACAACTGTATATGTGCTGCTTGCTATTGCTTGCTATAACGTCTGTCACATTCATACTTCAATTGGCGCGCATCCCCATTCCGCATGACGTCACCCGTTTAGTTCGGCCACATCCGGAGATCCGGAGAAGTATAGAGCGTGCCACTTTCCAAACGGGAGTTTGTATTCCTGATGTTCGAACACGCTTAACGTAATGGCAGTTAAGCCGGAACTTATTGTTCGATATCTGCCGATATCCCACCACTGAGATGCATTCAGAATAGAGATGCCCGATTCTTAATCGATTCGATTCTTTCCCTAACAAATTTAGGGAAAAAGAGTTGTTCGTGCTGCTTGCATGTTTCATACTTTTTGCTTTTAAAAAGAGATGGACGCCTAATCAGACGCTTGGAAGAAACAATCGAGTTAGTTGTCTCGTTTTTGCTTCTTCGAAACATTCCAATATACTTCTGTCTAGTTTTAAATACAAAAAGTGCGAAGAGTGCAAACAACACGAATAAGCCTATTTTTGGGGAAAGAATCGAATCGATTCAGAATCGGACATCTCTAAGTTCAGAAACATCACCCGGATATATATGCTGCGTTAGAGTGAGATACGAGAGTGAGATAAAAAAAGAGAGCACCTAGGTGACGTTTTCGAACATACCACAGCAAGGCTGCGTTTCAAAACTTTCGACGAGTAGAGTAGCATTTAATTGATCAATCAGAACAAAGAGAACTAAAGTCAGCTGCATATGGTGCTTTTGTTTTTTCGTACTGAATTGCTTGATGGAAATACTCTAGTTTGATTGGTGCATTTCCATTGGGTGGGATCCGATTGACCACGGTACGATTGGACATAACCAACCGATGCAAAGGTTGAGTTCCCACTGAGCGCGTCACGCGTCGTGTCGTCTGCCTGCGTCATAAGTTAACCAATCAAATCCTCTAATTGGGATGACACGATGCACGACGCACTTGTTCCAATGGAATGATTTGATTGGTTAACTCATGACGCAGGCAGACGACACGACGCGTGACGCGCTCAGTGGGAACTCAACCTTTGCATCGGTTGGTTGTGTCCAATCGTACTGTGGTCAATCGGGACGCTCCCATTTCCATTCATCTTTAGAAATGTATTAATCATGCACCAAATGTAAATTTAATGTAAGATAAAATGTTAACATAAATGTTAATATAAAATATAAATATTTCAATATTTAACAATAGTACTATAAAAATCTTTAAGGATTAAAAAAACTTTGATTAAATTTAAAACTTAGACAAGTCTAAATTTAAATATCGTACCTTAAATTGTGTGGATCTTTTAATTTGTCGAGCAGTCTGAATAGTTTGATCGTATAATTTATTCGAAAACTTTTATCAATTTTATGTAAAAATAAGTAATTTTTTATACTTTGCTTCTCGTTCTTATTTTGCTTATAAATTTGTATTCGTATTCGTGTTAGACTCTTATAGAAATAACATACTAAGAATCATTGATAATTACTTATTTTCAATATTAAAAATACTGGATAATAAGTAATTATCAATGATTCTTAGTATGATATTTCTATAAGGGGATGCAACTGAAAAAATCGAATCTATATTTATCTACTGCTCATCATCCTTTTTCCTCTATCGCTATTGTACATCAAGACAAGTTAAACTTTTCAATTTCTAACTTCAAAATTATAAATTAAATTCAAGAAAGAATTTGCGTCTTCTCTGCTTTTATTAAAACTTAAGAATGTAAAAATCTGAAATATTTTGCAATTTATAGCATTAATCAAGCGATAAGACGATAATATTAAATAAGACTGATAAGATAGAAAAATGTCGATCCGTTGGGTAAGCTGTTTCCGATGACCTAGTCATCAAATTAACAAAGATATATTAACAACGAAGATACTATTATCGCGATGTGCAATTTACTTGCCATTTTATTACCATTTTATTGCCTATTGATTTTCAATAAAATACTTTGTGAAATTCACTTTGGCTCATATTCTGAACTCTCTTTTATCGATAAAACCCAGACAGCACAAGATCTCCTCAGGACGTTCTAAGGACATCCTGAGGACGAAGAAATGTCCTCAGGATTTCCTTAGGATGTATTCTAGATGTCCCCTGGACATCTGTACTGTTAGGGAAGTGCGCCTTAAATATAGCTTCTCAGCCAATCAGGTGGCTTCTAAGTCTCTTTTAGAGGCTCCATTTATTGTTAAAAGAGAATTCAGAATACGGGCCTTTATCAGAAAAAAATATTTAATCTAGTTTTCAATCTAGTTTACTATCAGCATTGTATCGAACAACTTATATTAATAGATCGGCAACAATCAAAATAATTAGCTTTGTAAGCTCCATAACAATAAACTTCGTATAAAAATGGCAGGTTATGTTTGTAGTTTTTTTTTCGTTTTTATCGATCACGTTGTTCTTAGAAGACAAACAAGTTATTGATCGAGCGGATGCGCCAAGTATTTAAAAACCACGATAGCCCTCGTATCATCGATATGCTCGATGTACGTTGCGATATATCGATATGACGTTATTGCATAAGAGCGCTGGTTAAAGGTCATCACACACAAAATTCCGTAAGAACTTAAATCGTAAAGAAAATCGTAAGCGTAAAGAAATCGATCAATCTCAATTGAGCATTCGGCTCTTCGTAACCCCTCCATTATTAAGAAGAGCCGAATACTCGATTGGGATTGGTCGATTTCTTTACGCTTACGTTTTAGTTCTTACGCTTAAGTTCTTACGGAATTTTGTGTGTGATGGCCTTTAGCAAGTCACATGCTGCTATACGCGCGCACTCTCCTTACTTATCGTAAGTTGCACGCTGCCAGTTTCGACCACGTCGATTAACATCGTGCCATATCGTGCGCCTATAAATTACAGTCGTCAGTGTAGTTCAGTCAGTTCAGTCGGCGCCGTCCATCAGTCGAAACGGAGTATTGACAAGGCTCTTTAGAGAAAACTTTCTTCCTTCATTAGTTTATTTGACAAGGCCGTAAGTAAGTAATCCAACAATTTAAGGACCATACGTAAGGAAAATTACGTTTGTAAAAAAAATAACATATGTCTGTCGTCACCTGCACTTTCTGCACTGTAAACCTAACGAAAACACGTTTTCGTTTTGAGATGGGCGGGAAAGTAGAAACGTAGTATAAAAAGAACAGCAAAAAAAAAGTACCTGAACCTACCACATGTATCGAAATTAATGCTGCAATTGTAAGCAACATACGAGTAAATCGTAAAATCGTAACTTACGTATGAATCGTCTACTCATAAGTTCTTACGAGAACAAGTTACGAACTTTACGATTTTGTCTAGAATTGCAATATAAATTTAGATTCCGAAATATATTATAATGAGCTATGCCCATATCGCAATGGTGAACAGAAATTTAATTTAAAAAACAATAATCATTTTTTCATAATCATTCTTTAACCATGTTTAATATAATTTCTTTTTAGTTTATTTCTTCTGACATAAGTTTTAAATAACTTTATGAAATTCTAACTATTAATTTTTCTTCTCTGTCTTTGTACATATGTTGCATCATGTAAATATATCACAAATTACAATTTAATTTGGAGTACTATATGTTACTTGTTCTTTTGTTTATAATATTTGAAACAATTATAAAAAAACATTGAGTTATTTTATTGTGGTAAAGTAAATCATTGTATAATTGTTTGTCAATAGGTTATGAGTTCATACAAGGGCTTTTCTACCAAAGCTATTCACGCTGGGCAAGATCCGCAGCAGTGGAGTCATTATGCATTGATACCCCCTATAGTGATGTCCACTACTTTTAAACAAGATATTCCAGGCCAACCTAATGTAAGTAAGAAAAACAAGATTTCTCATCAGAATTTATTCTTAATTCTCCTGATGCTCAGTTCATGATTGATAGCAATCATTCTTTTCATTTAACCTGTCAATATTAATTGTAAGTAACAAACTTTGCATTAATTCCTATAATTGTTCATCAAGAAAGAATTATATATTAACCAAAGTTTGCATTTTATAAAATATATTTTAAAATACTTTTTATCAGAAAATATCTATAAACTCTATGACGTCTTGTATGTAATTTAAAATCCTTGTATATAAGTTTTTAGTCTCTTTTTTGTGCTTCTACTCATCTCTAGATACAAAACAGATGGCTTACTGTCACTTTTTCTTATAGTCTTATTAATGTAGTTCTGAGATCATCATATTTAATATGTACAAAGATAACATGTTTAATATATTCAGATTTATGTCTCTTTATAAGCATATAGAACTATCACCAAGAAGATTAATAATAATTGTCCAATACAGGGTTTTGAATATGGCAGAAGTGCCAATCCAACACGCAATGTGTTAGAAGCATGCCTGGCTGCTTTGGAAGGTGGCAAATATGCAATCACCCATTCCTCTGGCTTAGGAGCTTTAACAACAATAACAGGTTTGTTAAAATCAGGAGATCATCTTATCTCTGGAGATGACATTTATGGTGGAACCAACCGTTACTTCCGTCACCACTTAAGTAAGCAGAACAATATAAATGTTACATTTGTGGACATGGTCGACCCAGAAAATGTTATCAATGCTTTAAAACCAAACACTAAGGTTAGTTTAAGAAAAATATATATATTTAAAGTTTTTTTTAATAATACTAAAATCTTTGAAACTGCATTAAGTATATTTTGATGTAATCAATTTATTTTCTGTTATTGTATTACTATTATTATAATATTACTTGTTTTCTAATTATATTGATAATAATTCCTAATTATTGCTAATTATACAGATGATATGGTTAGAGACGCCGACGAATCCCTTGCTAAAAATCATAGATATCAAAGCTATTGTTAATTCTGTAAGGTCTCGCAGGCCAAACATCATAATAATTGTCGATAATACTTTTTTAACATGTTACTTCCAAGTAAGTATGTGATCTCATATAATCCTGGGAGAAATAATATCAATATATACATTAATAATAACAGATATTATTATGGATATGCTTTATTTTTAAAAAAGAAACCCTTGGATCTCGGCGCTGATATAGTGATTTATTCCTTGACGAAATACATGAACGGTCATTCAGACGTAATCATGGGGGCGGCAATTACATGCCGGGACGATCTCGGGGAAAGAATGCGATATTTACAAAACAGTAAGTTTCAAAGCAAATTTCTCTACACTGTATTCGATATCTCATATATACATTCTTTGCATTTAGCAATGGGAATTGTCCCGTCACCATACGACTGCGGCCTGGTCAATCGAGGTTTGAAAACGCTCGAGATCAGAATGAAAGTGCACATGGAGAACGGTCTGGCCATAGCGAAATTTTTGGAGAGCCATTCTAAAGTGGAGAAAGTGCTTCATCCATGTATGTATTCATTATCCTTTGCTTTATTTTGTGATGCAAATTTTTAATATGATCTGCTGTACCGCTCGTGATTATCGATTGTATTATTAACACAACTAGCCACTGATGAAACATATCCTTATGTTACAGTACTTTCTTCGCATGCACAACACAAACTTGCCCTGGAACAATCAACTGGTCACAGCGGAATGGTTTCTTTCTACCTCAAAGGCGATATCATGGAGTTCTTAAAGGCACTTAAAATATTTGCTTTAGCCGAGTCGTTAGGCGGTTACGAGTCATTAGTTGAAATACCGTAAGTATACACAATATTTTTATTTTGCATATTAAGAATTTCATACTTTATATTATATATTAATGAATTTTTTTTTTTACATAGATCTCTCATGTCACATGCAGCTGTACCTCCAGAAATGCGAGAACAATTAGGCATTACCGATAACCTAATTCGCTTGTCTGTTGGCATTGAGACGAAAGAGGACCTTATAGCAGATCTTCAGAAAGCATTGGATGTTTGCTAATGAATCTAATACCAGCTATTTTAAATAGCAACATATATATATTTTAATTAATACTTGCATATATTTTAATTAATACTTGCATATATTTTAATATATATAATTTGACGTTAACCTTTATATTGTTACATATCTCTATGTAGTAAGATAAACGCAAGAATAACGCAATGAAAAAATCTCTAATAGGTACAAAGACTTTATTTTTATAAAACATTTTTACATTCCATAATTCTCAAATTCACATTAGGAACACTGTATAGTACAGCAATAGATACTTTTTGACACATGTAATCACTAGTTTCCATTTCGGTTTTCTGCGACTGTCAGAGTCCCGAAATAAGAAAGAATTCAGTTTCGAGATGCCAATAAATTAAATCTGAAAGTGCAATTTAATTAATATATTACGGACTTTGAGGTGAAAAAAATGCTTCAGATAGAGAGCGCAAGTAAAAGTTAACACAATCGACATTTAATCAATATAGACAATCTTCACTAGTCATACGCTTGGTTCCTTAGTAAATTTTTCATGTCACTAATACTGAATTCTTTAACTTTGAATGGAATACTGCCGTATAAAAACCGGGTGTAACCGTTTGTACTACCAATGCAATATGCAATACATTTGGTGCTGTGACACGTTTCTCTTATTTGTATGATGTATTTTGAAAAGAGCCGACATCTGAAATATATGAATGTCTAGTTGAAACTTGACTTGAAAAAGTGTTTAATGAACTTTATAAATCTTAATAAATATTAAATGTTTACGAAAGAACATGCATTATATATGATACAAAAGCGAAATTAAACGGAATTATATACTTCGGACGTCGGCTCTCTTTCTTCCAAGATACAGATATATGGATGTAGATTTAAAAAAAATTTGTCCTACTGCAGGTTAATCTTTGACGAATGTCGTAACTTCGTTCTGCTTATTCTGTCGTATTCTTGAGCCCGGTTGTACAACAATACGCCCGCTATCACCACCGAAGTGCCGAGCGCCGATAATCCTGTCACTGGATTGTTGAACAACAAGACGGAGAGCCATATCAGGAAGGCTCTCTTTGCGGTATTCGCGACGCTGGAATATCGATACATCGTATTCGAGAGTTACGAGTGAAATGTTTTTTAAGGCTCACAGCTACTCGCCGCAGTCATCTTGATTTATGAAGTCAAAAGAGCGAAAAAATGCATCTGTAAAATTCCTAAAAAGTACGTTGAAAAAAGATAAGTTCAAAAAATGACACTTGTAATTGATTAAGCACATCTCTAAAATACTCCGAACACTGTTCGAACAATCGATAAATAAACGTGACAAAATAATAAGGAAATGTAAGTTAAAAAGAAAGATTGCATGTTAATTTTACGGTTATTTACTGATTGTTAGAGAAAAATGTTTGGAGTATCTTAAAAACTTAATTGAACGTCATTGCTGAGTATTTTTTAATTTCAACATACTTTACAGGAATTTTGGGTATGCATTTTGCATCAATCAAGAGTCCCGTGACAAGTAGTTGGAATTCTTAATCTGTACGCGCGAAGAAAAACGCGTACCTGTGTGTCACGGGACTGATATAGTCCATAAGTACATAAGCAGTGATACTCTGAAAGTGGAAGAACACCCCGTTGAGAAGGAATGCCGCGAATAACTTAAAACTCAGGGAATGTTCCAACGTTGGTAGATCGACCAACAGTACCGATACGGGTATTTGTACCACAATTGACGCTAAACTGGTATAAAACTGTAACTCTGCCGGTCTGAAAAAAATAATGAGACATTCTTTTTTCTTTACCTCTTCCGTATCTTTATAATAATTTCATGCATGCCAATGGTCATAATCGATGTTGTTACTCACGTGTACTTGAAATTGTCACCACTAATCAACATTTTCGAGTAAACATTTTGTAAACACTCAGTTACGTTTGTGGCCATAGCGGCGATGAAACCTCTGAGATCAAAACTGATTTCATTGATGGAACACAGGGCCAGCCCACCCATTACAGGTATCAAAGATAAATTTACGTATAATCCCGTATGTTCCCCTATAAAATACAATATCAAAAGCAGATTTTTCTAGCCTCCTAGCAAGCTAACTGACAATCAAATCATGTCTGTCCAAATTGAAAGAAAAACAAAGACAGACATATGATTTAATTGTTGAGTTAGCTTACCAAGAAGTTGGAATCAGTGCCAAGTATGTCCAAATATTATCAGTCGCAATTGTCTAACTATGGAAAATCATAAAACTGAATCTTAAGCAATCGTGATCTTTATACTGAGCATGAAGAAGTATCTTACCTAATAAATACCTGCTGATAAGGACGGTAAAAAGTGGTGCGCTACTCTTGATGGTTTCTGTGAAACTTACAGCTACATAATTTAATGACACTAAACCCAAGACTACCGTTGCGAATCTCGTGCATCCCACCAGTGTCATGTGTTTGTAGAACCCAGGAGGTCTCATTAATCTTGGGCTGGCCTTGTACATGCCACAGGGGAAGTACATTTGTATTAATCCACAGATTGCAGTCATTAACATCTGGCAAGCACCTATGTTGAAACAGATAAATACCTTTTTCCAGTAACATTATTCTTTTGTATACATTAGTTTATTGTGTACCACTACAGACAACTCTTTTTTTGTCTAATTAATTTCAAACGCCATCAGATATGTACTTTACAATGTCAATGTTATCAATAAATTCTCAAGGTGAAATTCTCAGTTGCTTACCTAGGATAGTAGGATTACCCTCCATGTAAGACAGTATATATTTATTTAGGAACAGAGTGCATCCACTGAAAACATACCACAGAGTAAGAAAGAGTAGGGCCCGGGGGTTGAGCAGACCGCCCTTAGTGTCACTTGTCAGGACAATCACGTCTTCGCGCGTACGCTTCGCGTGATCCGCGTACTGAATCTTCGGCTGAGGATCGTGCGCCGCGGACGAATCCTCCGGGTCACCGCGGCCGGTTTGCGGGTAATTGATGCGCACGGAGTAATTATCCATCGCGCGTGCGGTATCTCCAAAAGCGCGAGGCTGTCACGGCGACATTACGTATGGTCGATGAAGTAATCACATTTTTGCTCGTGTCACTGCCGCTCTGAACGAGCCTCCTTCCTTCTCGGAAGTGTTTACCGCGCGTGTTAGGTTAAGTTGGTCGCGCGGGTCGAACGGATCTCGCGGCGTAAACAGCCGGCCGATCAATCGCGGCTGAACAGCGTTCGCCGTTATCCGTTACATCTACACATGATAGCGGCAACCATACAACGAGATTGTCGCATTCTCGCGCACGAATTCGCGCGCGTTAGCGAACGTAACGTAGCAAGGCTATCATGGATGTTGCAGCATATTTATCGGCGCTAATCACATATACATTTGACCGGCGCGATGGCATTACCGTTGATAACTCGCTCTGTTGGAAAAACAGCGGTAATTGACGATGTTATCGCAAGCGAATTATTAAAATTTTCTGTTACACTATTTCTATCCAAGTGACACACGTAAGTGAGTGAATAACGAGAGATTATTTATTATTTGTAAAGTAAAAATATTCCATCTCTGTGACAGGATACCATATATATGTGGAAGTGTTCATATATAAGGTCTACTCTTTTAAAAAAAAACTTCATGAACACACTGATGCAATAAATCAGAGTAAAATATACTTGTTTGTTGTTTGAGTGAAACAAAATATATTGTTGTTACAGTTGCACTAGTGTATACCAGTTCAGGAAGTTCTTATATATATTTATTTATTTTACTTTAGCTACATTGCCAAGAAGGGGCTTGGTTTACAATCATATCTTAGCCACATTCATTCATGCATTCCTCTTATTCTAATATCTGTGTTAAAAGAAAACTACATTTCTTATCCTATTAAATCACAATTTATTAATATCTCACGATGTATCACAATAAGTCCTATTATTATTATCATTTTATAGAGTTTGCAAAACTTATATCTTGTACCTCCTACATTTCCTTTTAATATTTATACCTATTTCTTCTCCTTACCAAACGTTCCTCTATCTCTATGTTCTTATATCTCTACATACTTAAATTAACTCTATTCCAACTCATATATAAGTATTCTTAACCTTAATTTATCTTATATAAATTTAACTCCTTCAATTTTTTCTCTCTTTTCCTCCATAGTTTTTTAATTATATTATCTTTGACCTCATCCAACTCTTCATACCATAGCCTATCCCATTTTTAGGAAGTTCTTATAAAAAAAAAACACCTATACATTTGTAATATTATGATGCACATGTTTTTATGGAAATGATGATAAAATTGGTTTTAATACTTCAAGAACTAATATATGTTTTATGCTTGTCATGCTAATTAACAAATATATATAGGTATTGTTTCCTTTATTGTGTTCAGTCTAAAAGCTAACGAGTACAATACTTTGCAAGATTATAATGCAACCAGCAGTTACTGATTAATTATTTATATTCATATTTCTCAAGATATTATTCATATTAAATTTATACATATGTAGTTTATATCATATAAAAATAATTTAATTTTTAGAAGTATTTTTGCAGCATAAATAATGTTATAACTCGTCTAGCCTTGTTTTAGGGATATCCTTGGGAATTTCTTTATGCTGCATGAGGCCATGTTTCTGGAGAAAATCATTGTATGCTAGAATAGCAACGTTTCTGCCACTTATTGCACTCATCTCCATTGCACTCGCAATCCATTCTATTGCATTGACATGATACAATGCATCGTGCAGTTTAAAACTGTTGTGAAGTGTGTTGGACAGGTAGTGGGGATATGCTTTCCAAACAAATGTTCTCATCTCAGTGACCTTAACATAAGAAAAGAAACATTAATTGTATTGACGCATTTTTGGTTGGCTAAAGAAACTGTGTTGCAGATCTCACTTACATTTGAGAACATTTCGTGAATAAGTTTCATTTCCAGTGGTTTTCTGCTAAATAGCTTCCAAACTGGGGAGCTATCCTTATTTGATCCAGAGACCATTCTCGAGACTGAACTAATTATCGTCTTGGTGGGATTGCAACTGAAAATACTATCTAAGCTCTTCTGTAGGCCAAAGTATTCTGGTTTGATATCTGCTTTGACGAATGTCGCGTGCGTCGTCTGATAGCGACCTGGAAACTCTAAACCCTCCGGAAAATTGACGAATTCTATCGGAAATTCTTGATCACTCGTGAGCGGGGCTGCGATAATCACAATGTCATATTTGGCAGTCATTGGATCCGTGTTGTCTAAATAAATTAGATTATGTCTTAGTAGAGTGTGTAAAATTTTCTAATTGTTATTATTCCTGTGTCTTAAGCGTTTGTCTAAAGTAAAACGCAGAATTTTACTTGAATTTCGAGTAGCTTTGAAATTAATGTAAAATTCTACCTTCATTCATATGAGTCACTTCATATTGCTGCGAATCACTGTTGTCTGCCGTATAACGAATTTTCGTGACGCGGCTCCGCACGACATTTACGTTTTTATTTCTGTAAATGAGATTTTCCGGCACCTACGGAGTTCACTTTGCACATTTCACGAATAATTAGGGCAGATACTGCGACGTTCATAACATCTTACCTCTTTATTTCCACCTTTAACAGCCCAGAGTTCAGAACCTACTGCAGCTAGAGATACAAGACCGACAAAACTTTGTATATCGGTATCTTGGCCATAATTCACAACAACAATAGCTTCAGCTAGCTCATCGATCAGTCTATCTGTATAACCCATATGTAAAAGGTGATCTTTCATTGGTATTTGCAACCACTTTGGGAATTCCTCATTCACAGCTGATATTAATGCAGTGATATTTGCAAAATACTTTCCAGCATCTTGTAGTTCATATATCTTTTCGAAGTTTGTTATCACATCATTTACATCCCTGTTTGAAGGAAATTACAATCTCAATTTAAAGCACTCTTATTTTCTCTTTAAGCTGTTATAACTCATAATTTTCAAGCACCTTTTGAGTTTAAATACTTGGAAACCATATCTGTAGAATAATTGTATAAATGATACGATGGTACAACCACTGTCCTTAAATACAAACTCATCTCCATTCCATATGCCAATCTTTTCCTCATCAGACGTAACGTGATCCAAACCTGTGCACACAAAAGCTCATGGATTTCTTACATTTCTTACATATAAGCATTTAAAAGATGGATTGTATTCGAGGATCGCTGATATTCATACTTGCCTAAAAGTTTGACAAATTTCTGCATGTACATATTGCGGGGATGTATAATTGAACCACCGGCCTCATATGTGTTGTTACCAATCGTTACAGTTGCCAATCGGCCGCCGACGTGTCTTGCTTCGTACAAATCAATCTCCAAATTTCCATTCATCAGCTCTGTGAGGAAGTGCGAGGTGGAAGCACCGCCGATACCACCTCCGATAACGGCTTAAAGAGAAATTAAAAGAGAAACATGTTAGAAACATAAAGTAAACTTGAACTTTATGTAAAATGTTGACTGAGTTACATTAGTTAATACGTTTTGTAATAATACTACAGATTTTTACGACAAATTATTTCGTACCGATATGCGGTGTGCGCGTCTCAAGGCAACTTGCATATTCGAGTGTCAGTAATTCGAATACTAAAAATATTATGCACCTTCTCATGGTGTGTAGAAATTGAGAATCTTCGACGGTTAAAACAGTTCGTTATCCGCTTCTGTGTCGCCAATCGTCAGAGAACTGATGAACTTCTGTGTCATAACACCCGATTATACCTACACATAATCTACGTATCTACATATAACGCATGTCATTCTTTTTTGCAATCTCTGCATATCTAATATGCGCAATATATATATTCAATTCTTTAAGTACCTCGTCGTTCAATAAATCTATAATTTCTAAAAATTTTTTATCAATTCGTTTTCAGCCAAATGTTTTTCACAATCGTTGATTGATTGGGGAAGCAAGAATATGTCAAAAACAAAAGTGGCATTTTAACAGTTTGATGTTTCGTATACTTTAAGATAAATTATACCAGATATTATTGATACCGGAGTGGATTATTGTTACGCTTATATGTACATGTACATTTGTGTAACGCTCTTACGTAACGCGCAATTAGCAGTTATTAATTAATTATTTATATTAAATAAGTAATAAGAGATATTAATCTCTTATCTTCCTTAATATACCCTTATAGAAATATCATACTAAGAATAATTGATAATTACTTATTTTCAGTATTAAAAATACTGGATAATAAGTAATTATCAATGATTCTTAGTATGATATTTCTATAAGGGTATCCCGTCAAAATGTTATATAGATATTAATTTCTTATCTTCCTTAACACATCCTGTCAAAATATTATTTCTTAATTTCTCAATTAATCAGCAGAGTTCCGGAAGCGCGTTATCAACGACTACATTCAGCGGAATAAAGTGATTAGTGAACAGTCAATGATTATTGGTTTTTACTGTTAAATCCCGCTCTAAATTTAGACTAATTACGTTGACGAATTACTCAACCGTTGTACAACCGTTGTGTTCACTGAACGTACCCAACGTTAACACATTATTCTTTATTGCACTCTTTAAATGCACAACAAGGATAGAATGACATACTCTCTGAACGCAAGTCTGTTTTCTATTAGCTGCACTAGTTCTCTCTCATCTTTCTTCCGCCACATTTTATCTATATATCTGTCTCTTTTTAAGTTCCGCAAGGTGTACACTAGTTCAATAACAGAAAATAGACTCATAGAAAAACGCATATCTAGAAATGAATGTGGTAGAACTCGTTGCACTGAAGAAAAATCGAGTAGAAAAATTTTCTATCATATTATAAAATACCACGTAATTATCGAAATGAGATAAACTTGGTTGATTAATGTACGCGACGCAATGGCACAATTATATTATTAAAGCTTGCAACACTTTCTTGAAAAATTGGTTTTCCAGTAATTTTCCAAGGAAATATACTTTCTTATTGCACATGAAATGCGTTGCAAGATTCATGAAAGAAAATTGATGCAACCTTTAATCGTTCCACTGGACGAACTCTGTAGGACAATCTAAAGGAATATGTTTTGGATTTGTTTCCTTATCTCTCTTAGCAACAGTAAATATAGGCGTGAGGCCCAATATCATTTACACCGCTCGCTGCTTGCAATTGCTCCGTCTCTCGAGCAGTCATGTCACTCGATTTGCACCGTTGCTAGGAAACAAGCCCGAAACATGTCTCCTCAGACTGTCCACAGAGCATCACAAAGTTCGTTTCGCCGTATCGCATGCACTCATTTGTTAATTTTCTCTCGTTATCATCTCGATAATTACCGTGTTAGTTTGAAAAAATGGCAGCAGATTATTCCACTCAGTTACGAGTCTTACCTGCACATGACGCTCAGACACCTAAATCTAGACACCCTGTATAGCGATCACGTGATACGCGAGGCCAACCGAGCTGACTTTAGCGATTGAATTCAGTATGGCTGAGGGTGGCCCAGAAAAATAGCTGGGAGTAGCCCCGGTGTACACCATCGTGACTTTGCCGCGAATTCGTTCGCGAGATGAACACGAACGTTGCATAATTGGCAATATTACACATTTAACACGAATATTTTCTCCTTCAACGAAAGTTCCTAACACGCATCTTCGAGATGTTCCCCAAAATTTCTCGCCCTCGCAGAACGTCGCGATAACAACTAAACAGAAGAATGTGCCGCGATTGCACGACATAATTTGTAATTAAAAGAGAAGATAAGAGAGTCGTGAAACTTGTAAAGTTAGTTGCATATATTCAATTATCGGGATAAATGCTTGGGAGGAGAGAGAGAAAAAGAGTAGAGATTACGAGCCGAGCATTAAGCCTCACGGTAATTTATTATTACGATCAATCTATGCTCTTTTGCTATTGTACTTTCTTAGTTTCATACTTGAACTTTAAATTTTTATATTCTATATATTACATATATATACGTGTTGCATCTTGTTCATGTACAAATCCTATTGCAATGTCAGACTTGATTATTAAGTTACACACAAATAAAAAAAGAGATACATTAAAGGTATATATATATATATATATACACGTATCTCCTACTCCGTCCATCTATGAGAGCAATGCTGATTCGTGCACACGTAATACAGTCTCATTTCCTCCTCAGCCCTCCTAGTTTGCGCCTGGAAAAACACAGCCTCCCTGTGATTGCACTTCGGGCATGGATGTTCCTCAGTTCTCGGCAATGTAGGATCCGATATCACGTCGGCGACAATGTGCGTCAACTCGCTAAAAATATAAGAAAACGTTTGAGTAAATCAATGGTGAGCACACGACTCTTGCTACGACTAGTGCATTACACCTTTGCAAGCTATAACTGGCCAAAACATTGAGTAACAGTAGCCTTACATTAATCACTGCATTCAGCAGAAAAAGTTATTTTACAACTGTTGCAAAATTCGTGAATCTAATTTGATTTACATTCTTGATCTTAGAATCTAAGAGCATTCATCACATTAAAAATTTTGCAAAGCAGTTATAAAGCAGCTTTCTCTGCTGGATACAGCCAATGTTATAATTTCCTGCTCAACAATGTAACTGTTATATACAACACATGTAGTATTGCACTTGCACTATTGAGTAGGAAATTATAACATTAATGTAATGTTACTGTTACTTAATGTCTGCTGGGGAAGTTACTCTCACAACTGGAGTTTCGCAGCAAGCACAAAAGATTCGCCAAGAAGTGTATAATTTTGTACAACAAGTATCTCTGTGCACAAAATGATACGCTTCAACCTCCTGGCACATATTGTACGAATTTTAGAGAATTATTGCAAAGTTTAATAATGTTTGTTCTATGTTGATTTATCTCTCAATTCGCTACTCTTAACTTACTCTATCTCGTGCATGATCTTATTTACATAGATGCAGTTGCTGTCAGCCAGTTGCTTAAAGTCGCAATTTCTGCACTAAAACACAATTTTTCATGTTACAATCATATTGTAACAATAGATCTGTTTTCTTTTTCAAGAAACTTCCTGAATCAGTGTATACTGGTGCAATAAATGAAACAAAAGGTTTGTTGCACTAAAAGTTGTACTAGTTCTCTCCTCTTTCTTCCACAAAGTCTCAATTGTATACCTGTTTCTTTTTAAGTTTTATAAATGTACACTAGTTTAGCAATAAAAAAATATACTCAAGATACACTTGTCTTACTCTAATTTACTGCATCAGTATACACCAGTTCAGAGGATGTATTCAAACACTAAATACACTTTTCGGATTTTTAAGCTAATTCAAGCTTGTACAAGATACTTATATAAAAAAAAAACGGAATTTGGAATAAAAAGGATGTACTTGGCATTCGAATACGGCCCTACAAAACTTCTAAAAAAAAAAACAGGCCTCATGTTAGAAGACAGAATTCTTGGTTTTCGTGTATTTCTATCTTTATGGAAGAAGAGGGAACAGTTATGAAGCATTACTTACCGCGTACATCAGCACTTTGTTTTCTTTGTCTTCTTTCGGGTATAACATGTTATTACATTCCTGACAAAATCGGATACCTACGAAACCCGGCCCGTCGTCGTGAGTGTCATAACCTGTTATCTTTGACATGATCAAACATCAAATCGATGTCTTCATTGAGTATTTCTTTTTTCTCTTCTGTTAATTAATGTGGAGAGAATTTCAATCTTTAATTATTTACATTTTATACAACATTAGTGTATTTGTTGCAATCACAATATTATTCACGTGACACCACACCAGTAGTAGATCCGATTGTAGCACGCTGTAGAATTACACAGAATCGAACGACGCGTTACCTGTAGGTACATTCGGGAAACAGAAAGCCGTTATACACGATGTAGAATTAACGGTGACGTTCTTCACGTAAATATTTATCGTGTCACACAAGATAAATTTCCAAAAGAGATTGAGAGACAAAAAAACGGCGGAATTATCTCCACAAATGTTCCAATAATCTGAGCCTGCTTTAAATTTATTTCATAAAGGTACGCACCGTAATTCAATAAATCATCGCAGTCACGGAATTTTATATTCTCAATGAAGATTCTCGTGGAACTAAATTAACTTATAAATATTGCTTGTAAAAATCCGATCGATATAATATAAATTTTTAGATTAGTTTCTCAAAGTGAAATTTGGCCCGTGGGTATGTGCGTGTCCAATTTTTCTGATTTTGTATCTTTTTCATTTCTATATATCTTCGAGATGAAAGAGCAATCCGACGTCTCCGATTTACAATGCCGAATGCAGCTTTTATCTCTAGACGAGGAAAAAGCACCCTATATTAGTCACTATGTATTGTATTTCTTTGTCGGCCTTATTTTAATTCAACATATTTTTCCAATGAGTATAAATATTGATAAACAATACATTTCACGTACACTTTTATATTTACTTTCATTATTTCCATATTCTTTCTTTATTTCCTTCTGTAGTGCGAGAGAATACGGTGTGAGAAAGAGAAAGAAAGAGTGGGGGAAGAAAGACGAACATGTAGGATGTAACCAAAAAAGAACAGACATCTATTATGGCGCGCATCCTTCGTGCAGTTTCTATGAGATCAGTCGGGACGACGTCGCGCGAATCTTATTCGCGCGTGCGTTCGCGCACAACGATCACGTTGAAATCGTATCGAACGGCTGGCGCGTAAAATCGCGGCGAATCCATTTATCGCGCCGCACGCGCGCAATCGATCGGTGCGCGTGTCCACCACGGAAAAAAAGGCATTAAGAAGCCCGTCTAAGAATCGCCGCCGCGGGTTTGAAGGAACGGCGCAAGTTTGCTGCGCAGCATCGGATGCGCGCTAGAGGCCGTCGCGACGCTAGTTCTAGCGATAGTTTACGATAGAGTGTGCCGTGTGAAGTACGTGCCGTCGACGTCGACAGCGGTCTCGCCGTGCGAGTAAGTATCGATCAACGGGGCCGGTCCCGTGTCACCGTTCACGGCTCTAACTCGCCCGTACGTCTCCTCCTCGCGGCTTCCCGGGCTCTCTCTCGTCCGGAATCTCTAGCGTCTATATAGCAGTTCGCGGAATACACGCGAGAGCTGCGCTAGTGTCCCACGCGCACGCACACACACACACACAGCGAGGCGCAGACTGTTCCTTCTCCCCTCGAACCGTGCCGCCATCTCCCTCTTTCTTCCCTCGTTTCCGTCTCTTTCTCTCTCGCTCTTTCGCACGCTCTTTCTTGCTCCGCTCTGCTACCCCCACCCTTCCGGCCGCAGCTCCCCTAGGTAGCGAAAATCTCGGCGGCTGAATGTTTTCTTAAGGGATTCTTCCTGCAAGCGACGCGAAATTCGGAGAGTAGTCGGTCTAGACGTCTTGCGGACTCGTGAGTGAACATTACCTTATTTACCGAACGCTCTATAAGACACGCGTACGTGTGTGACTCGCATTGTCATTTCTACGTGTTTCCCCGAAATCGGGAGGACGCTCGGCGTCCCGTGAGAAAGCCGCGCGAAGAACGAGAGAGTGACCGAACGAGTGAACAAACGAATGTACGTACGTACGCATGTACGAACGAACAAACAAAATGGTGAAACTTATGGGAACTTCGAGGCGTTTCTGTAAGGGGAGAGCTGTGATGCGGCAACGTGCTACGGCGGCGGCAACGACGGCGGCAACGGCGGCGGTAGCGACGACGACGATGGCAGAGGCGTCAAGACGATGTCTCTCCCGCAAAGATCTTTCTTTTATTACCACGAAAGAATGGTAACGTATGAAGCGGATCATTGTGTGCAGACCGATCTCTGAATAATCTTGCGAGCGCTCCAGTGACGCTTAACCTGTCGAGACCAAGTCGAGACCGACTCCGACACGTGATTACAGAATACACAAGCATCACCATCGTCACTGTCGTCATCGTCATCGCCGTCGCCGTCGCCGTTGTCGTCGTCGTCGTCGTCGTCGCTCTCCTCCTCGTCTTCGGTAGCGAGCAGCGTACGCTCGTAGCGCGTTGCTCCACCTCCACCGTGCGTGCGTGCATGCGTACACATACGTACATGCGTGCGTGCTTGCTGCATCCGGCTATACGCGGCTTTTTGTCGCACGCGCTCGTTCAAGTTTCAGCAATTTTTCGGCCGGTTTGCTTGCTCGCCCTCGCCCGATTGTCAAGATCGATTCGACCTACGCAATGCTCGATCGCGATGTAATGTTTCAATCACTCGCAAACGCATTTCGCACATTCCACATGTAATGGAAAGAAAAAAAAAATAGTATTAATATATAATCATATATATATTTGTGTTATATATGACATATAGTATATGTATAATCCACATGTATGTACTATATATGTGTATATATATACACATATATCTATATATATGGTTAAGATGAGTGGTTTGTGTAGGTGTATACTACGTGTGTGTAAGTGTGTCTGTGTGTGTGTGGCGCGCGTACGAATACATGGGCACGCACGGATATTGTTGTTACTAGACCTATGTCAGACAGCCATATTGTACATTTTTTTAACTCAACCGTCATGTTTCTCGTTAACCTAGCCCCAGCGTCGCGATAATATCTCTCGTTTCGGAGCGGTTCTCGACCATGATATTTCGGGCGCTCACGAATAATAGGCGTTTACGAATTATGGGGAATATCCTGTTCGAATTTCGAGTTAGCAACCGGACTCGCCGTGACGGGCTCTCTTTGTCTTTGTTCCAACGTTAGTCGTCCTCGCACGCGGGTTTAGTTACGCCGCTCCGGCAAATAATACGGTTGTTTTTTCCCCCCATAGCTGAGTGAGATCGTGCGTGCGTCGCGTTTTACCATATTTAAAAAGACCGAAGCTTAGCGAATAAGGTATCGTAACGTCGAATCTGCTACTTGTTTTATTAATTAACGCGTCTGAAAATAGCTCGTAAGAAAGAGATTCTCTTTGCTATAGTAACGGATGTCTCCTTCTTCTGATCTCAAATTGACAAAATGACTTCTTTGTTAAGAATACTTTGTATTTTCACTCATTTTTCTCTCGATGCTTTATTCTTCTTTGTTCTTGGTATTTTGTGTAGATATGTTTTATGGTCTATTTGATTATTATTATTACTTATTTAAGTGATAGATATATAGTGATATATATAGTTGAAAACTGTTTAGAAAATAACTAAAAAATCACAAGATGCTTTTTTCAGGATCTTTATAGTGTTTCCTAGCTATTGTGTTCTTAAACATTAAGCTCTATAAAGCGTATTGTATTAATTCTTAGAATTGCATGATACGTTAAAACGCAATCAGGTTAAAATGCAATTCTTTACATTTGATAATAGTTAAAATGTAATGTAATTCTAGATTTTAATAAGATGTTTCATCTATGAAATTTTAACAAGATTTCTTGTGTACAGGAAATTCGTGTATCATTGAGCCGCAATGATGGATTCTGGGAGTAACTTGCCTAATCCCGTGAATTATCCGGGAGGGGACCGTCAACAATTCTGTGTCTCTTGGAATTCTCACCAATCCAACATGCACAGTGCATTTCCAAAGCTGCTGAGCTCGGAACAGTTTGTCGACGTGACTTTGGCTTGTGACGGAGGCTCGATAAAATGCCACAGGGTCGTGTTGTCTGCCTGCAGTGACTACTTGGAACGTTTGCTGCTGGAGATACCATGCACTCATCCAATCATCTTTTTAAGAGACATGAGAATGTGGGAGTTACAAGCTTTAGTTGAGTTTATGTATCGTGGAGAAGTGTATGTGGAACAACAACAATTGGCAAAACTAATGCAAGCAGCAGACGTTTTGCAAGTATGTAACTCAACCTATCTTCATTATCATCAAAATTGTTTCTGTGAAATTTCCATTACTTTTATTTATTGGTCTAACTTTGAGCGAATACGTCTCGTGCGACACAAACAAGACTTCAGCGCTAGAAACATGTGGTATGTTGTGTTTTTACACACATGTTCCTACGCACGTGTTTTTCTTTTTTTTTCCAAAATTGTGTTTCTACAATGGAATATATTTTTGCAATCTACGCAATCTATCCCTTAACAGATACGTGGTTTATCCAGCCAGTGCGAGAACAATTTGAGCGACAGCAATACACAAAATGATTCTAACGCGCCCGTTACTCCATCACCACCTATTCAAGACACCCCTAGTTTCAAGACCGAGGATACTTCAACCAATAGTGGTAACAACACCAACTTTCTCCCGTGTTCGGCGATGGCGACGACCAGCTCAGGAAATAGTTCGTCGCACACCGTCACGCTTGTTCCACAAAATTCCAATTCGTCATCCAACTTTGTGAGTATGGAGCACAACGAGGCACTGCAGCATCTGGAGAAAGCTCTCAGTGCGTGCGAAGCTACCCTCACTGAAACCACGGGTATGGTGAAGATGGAGCCTGACGAGCAGTTCACTCAGCAGCAGGACGTCAAACCCTATTCCATTAGTATGGTATCCACTAATAATTGCAACCCTACCAGCCCATTCCCCGCTATAGAAGGTGAATAACTTTCCTCTTTCGTGAACGATTTTCTGTGCCGATTCTAGCCGATTATCAGACATTATTTTAAAACCTTGCCCTCTCCTTCATTCTCACAGGTTATCAAAGACGACAAAGGCGCTCGGAAGAGGAACTCAAGCAAGCTTCGGACATGGTGGCACGCGGCATGACATTTCAAGTAGCTTCAGAAAAGTACAATATACCGATCAGCACAATTCGATTCTACATGGTTAGGAAGGGCATCTTGCAAAGGCGAAAACGCGGTCGCGGCTCGAGCAATCTCGGAATGAACAGTCAACCGGATAGTCCAGCCAGTCCACCGTATCATATGATGAATTACCGTTTGCCGGAGAGCCTAAATTCCAGCCTACCGTAGTGCTGTACAAACAAGAGTAGTGAGTTTTTATACTTCAGTTGAATCGAACAAATTTTTTATCGCAGCACCCCAGAGCTGTTCCAGACCGTGTCACCGTTGACTTTTCCGTTTTTTAGTTTCGTGCCTTGCATCGAGTTCGCTCATTTTTTTTCCTTTTTTCTTTCGTATCCTTTTTTCCTTTTTTATATTCGCCCTTCATTTACTCGGCGCGGCGACATGAAGCGCGCGCGCTGGTTGACAAGACTACTATTATTAACAACGTACTTTTGCATTTACTCAGTAGACCGAATGTAACTTTTACGCGATATAAATATGATTTGAGTCTCGAACAGCTCCGCTCCATGTACATAAAATACCATATGTCAAAGTTCGGACACAGCATTAAGTTTAAGTCGATGGTCGTGCACTCCGCCTCGCAAAACGCACGCCATTGCAACATATTTATGTTGAACTCTCAGTGTCCTTAGGAAGACTGCCTGAAATCAGTTTTTTTAAGTACAAAACATACTACACGCTAATATACTGTACTGTATAGCGAGGTATACCAATCGTATGACTCGTTATAGCCGTTGACGTTGTACGTAATGCTGCGTAAAACGTTCGCTCCGCAATCAAATTCAATGGCATTATGCGCGAGAGTATTCCATCCGTCATATATTAAACTCACATCCATACTTATAAGTGCTTACGTTGTGACATGTACTTATAAGAAGAATGACGTATAAAAGGGAATGGACAAATCGTTGAAGATCAAAACGTTAGATCGAGCATTTAACGTATTGTGTTTCAAATTTTATCATTTGAGACTTTTATACGCAGGATTTTTGTAGGTAAGCGCAGTTGATGATGAGATATTCGCGAAGGATACGGTTTCTATAGGGCAAGGCTGTTAAATACTTGTAACTTTTAGTTCGTCAGATCGCCGTTAAGAAAGGCGAGATAAAATTGTAACCCTAATCGGTGGCTACAATTGATAAAAAGTTGCAAGTACTTACTGCTCTGCTACAGGGTATATATATATGATACGATTATACATATATATATATGTATATGTATATGTATATATATATAAATATATATATATACATATATATATATATGATATATATATATATATATATATATATATATATATATATATATATATATATATATATATATATATGATAATATATATATATATATATGATAATATATATATATATATATATATATGATAATATATATATATGTATATATGTATATATATATATATATATATATATGTATGTATGTATGTATATATGTATGTATGTATGTTGAGAAATGAACACAATTCCTTTTTGCTGTGGACGAACACTAAGCGTATGGTTAATTTTCAGCCGTGTTCCGTTCTTCTACTTAGTGACCGATGTAGCTTGTATACATGGATAGCATGAAATTTCTTTTTTGGATCTTACATCAATATATCGCTCGAAGCAGACTATACAAAATTATATTATACAAAGTATAATTTAAAAAGAAAAAGATGAAAATGAAGAAGAAGAAGAGAAGAAGAATGACTATGTCATATATAACCGATATTTTTTTAATGACCTCAGAATGTTTTGACGAGTAGACACATCTCCGTAGTGTAAGTTATTTTTTATTACATCATATATTTATATGATTCAGTGAAGCGCATCTTACTCTCATTAAGTTGTCTGTGGCATCTGTAACACCGTTAATGCGCGCATATATATATATATATATATATATATATATATATATATATGTATATATATATACATACACACACACCGGGTATTTATCTGTTTTGTAACTTAAATAAGCCTTCATGATGAAAATTACGACGATACTTTATATCCTGCTGCACCAGGAGAGTGACGCTTAAAGATCAAAATGTATACAAATTGTAGAAAGACAATGGGACTTGTCCACAAACGATTAGTCACTATGTTTAAGACTGGTAACACGTGGCTAACATAACCAGACAAAGTCTTAGACACAGCAATCCTCAATCTATTATACAGATATTTTTGTAGGCACTTTGTCGAGGAAAGTTTCTTCTTTCTGCCTTTATTCTATATACCTTGATAACTTATACAGTGTAAGAGGACCGGTATTTATTCAAAGTTTACCATTTAGCTTTGTTGAACATCACAAGAGATGAACGATCATGACGTATGTAGTGTAATGCTTTTTACATGCTAGTGTACAAATGACAGCATTTGTAATTGATGATAAGAATTACCGGTGTCCGTAAAAATCACAAGATCGGCTCTTCTCGTTATTTTTACGAATACTGGTTCTGCCTTTTCAAAGAGGTTTAATTATATGACAACAACTGTGGCGCATATAATGTAATTGTAACGGTGTATTGCCTTTGTTAAATAGCATTTGGATAAAGCCATATTTTTCCATGCAACGCAATAATCCAGCAAAGTAAATTACAATAACTGAGAAGCAGCCTAAAAATAGGAAAGAGTGCCAGATACAAAAATAATAAAAAAATGGACATGAACAATAACACATAGAAGATAAAGTAAAGTTTACTATCACTTAGAATGTAACTGCCTTTCTCTGGCCTCATACCGGATCATTAATTTATTTATATTAGACAATATACAAAATACGTGTAAAGAAAAAAGTGAATTAATCTAACTTTAGAGAGCTTGCTAGAGCTTCTATTACTTGCAGTAAGACTGCTACCATCCGACTGATGAACACGTTTTCAAGATTCAAGTTGAACATTTAATCCAGCATATGTCACAGATCTTATTATAACTTGTATTTATTCTCATTTAATCATTTTCTACGTGCGACCATACGTATATTAATCAGTTATCTTCTTACTTTTACAAGATATCGAGATATCGGAAGAAAAAGAAGAGAATTAGTCACATATTGGATATTGTGATGTTAATGTGAACTAAAGAAGAGAAGAAAAAAAAAGACATGACTTACAATTGTTGCCTGTTGCAATGTCCAGACAGTTGAGGTAATGACTTACTCGTATATAGCATTCTTTCCGAAAGAATCAGTATCGTGTAAATCATTGTTCTAAGAGTTCCAGTTGACAAAGGTTTTATACGGATCTATTAAACCAGTATTTCAAACCAATGAGAAATAATTAGTTTTCTAATAATACATAATACATTTTACGTGAATTTAGTACAGTGCTTAAGTCAGTAATGCTCAGCGTATCTAACAAATATTTTTAGTGGAAGTCCGTGTCATACTCACATGTATCATAATGTCTTAAAGTATGTAACTAAACCACAATCAAAGAAGTGTGAACGATACTTAATGACTATTATCATAGCCACTATTGTAGCAGTAAATATATAGGTAGCCACTTTGAGGCAGTTTATATTATATTTAATTACACGATACTATATATATTGCTTTGGTCTCTCCGTTTTTATGATGGTATTATTATTTGTAGATAGAATCATAAAACTCTATAGAGTCGATTTTTGAACCTCGTATCACTTATTTTTAAGTCTTTTTTACAGTTACCGAGATAAATATCTAATATGGATTAAATAGGCAATGCAATTAAAAGTCCAACATATACACACATAGATGAGATCTGTTTGCGTATCAGTATGATTACGGTGGACATTTTGTTCTTGTTATCTCTCGGGATATGCGCATATGATTATTGCATCGTACTTTTGGCAACGCTAAACCAGTATATATTTGTATAAGTCGTATTTTTGTGTCCCATTTTTTAGCTTAAGTTTTTATTATTATAATTCGGATTTTGTACGGTTGTATGTGTGGTGAGCTTCTCTCAAGGTAACACGTCGCACTTGAATGAACATAATCTGAGGGCACATTTGTGGAAGCCTTGAAATGATTTCAATCAAAATATCAGAATATTATGGTTGAAATATTTTTCATCAATATATAAATTTATATATATATATATATATATACATTGTAATGTGTTTACTATAATATTAACTTTCCCATTTATTGGTCTGTGCCCTTTGACTTCGTGTTACGTCGGGAAATGCACTCCGGACGATCTAGCAAAGATCCGATGTACGTTTATCATCTTCCTAAAATTATAAATCGTTAACACACTGTTGCTTGCCTATTTACGATCGCGAGTGGAAATTAAGTGCTTTGATGTTTCGTAAATGAGTTGTAGCGACGGATTACTGACTTGAATAAGAGTTCAATTTTCTAACCGTAGATTCCGTAAGAGTAATAACACTCTAATATGATCACTAGGGCTTTATATGATATCTGCAGTATGCGACAGATTACACTGAATCGACGCCGACGCTTCGATCTCCATTTCCCGGTGAGATTCGCAGTTCGTTATAGTTCCCTTCGCGTAGCTCGACTGTCAGGGACATCTTCGAAGCGATCTGCAATTCAGTATCGTGCGTTGCGTGCAAAAAGTCGACTGCGTTCGTCCGACGATCATCGCGTCGTCGTGCGCCTCCGTAGATAGTCACACTTATTATCATTACACATACAAATTGTATATTGTATTATTCTCGAAAGCCCGTATTCAGGACTCTATGAGGAAGCGTACGGTAACATCTTCACTTTCGGATATTCACGCGACTTTGTCGGTTGTTTCGAGACGAAATTCGCAAAACTTCAACAACGTCAAGTTATGTCAGTATCGTTCGATTATCACGCCGACATCACTCAATGTACATTAATTAATTTTGCACTGTTTCTATTTTTTCTTTTTTCTCCTATCAATGAGACCACTGACGGCTCTTGTGCGAGGAGTTGCATAATAGTTCCAAATATGCTATCAGTAACAATATATCGCCAACATTATTGTTACGTGCGAATGTACATTTAGATTTTGCGGCAGAACGATATGATGTATCTCGACTTTGCCAAAGTATTGGTGCCGTCGCTACAGCGTTCCGAATATGGGCCGAAGCGTGCGGGTTCAGTGTAATGCGGAAAGACACGTGTACGCACGAAAATACACGTATCCATACGCGAGCGCGTGCATACACCCACACACGTGGATACATGGTATCGCACGACACACACACACACACGCATGTATATGGAAAAAACGAGACATACAACGGACGAGGGATGGGGCAGGTCGAACTCGTCGTGACTGTAATACAATTTGCAGAATACCGTGCCGTTCGGTTTGCTCGTGACAAACCAGCTTTTGTAATTCGCGTAAGATAATGTATGTCTATGTGTGAGAGAGAGAGAGAGAGAGAGAGAGAGAGAGAGAAAGAAGAAAAGAGAGAGAAAAAGAGAGATAAAAAGATAAAACATCTTAATTAATTGGTTACGGGTTCGTTACATAATAGGCACAACGTGTGGCCGAAATGAGAGAGAGAGAGAGAGAGAGAGAGAGAGAGAGAGAGAGAGAGAGAGAGAGAGAG